AGTAAAATTAGGAAGAGACAACATACATTTGAAGAAGATCATATCAAAACTATTTGAATATAGGTTTCTTGTTATTTTGTAATTTTGTTGGCATGTGTGATAAAAGTTTAAATCGAAATGCTCTTATCAGTTTTGTAAATATACTATTTTAAGTTTGTGAATATATATATCAATTATTTATTTTTATTGTGAGTTATGAGTTTTTGATATTTTCTTTTTGTTTGAGGGTTTCACCACTGAAATCAAAATGTTTTTAATTTCTTAATATAGTTAGTATTAAATATAATTAATAGTATGAATATATATTACAATATTAAGATATGCTTAAATAAAATTAATTTGGGTTTTAAATTAAACGTGGTGGACAGTCGTATCTAATTTATGAAAAAAAATAGAAATGTCTATCACTGCTTGAACTGGTTTTGAATTGGTAACCAAGAATATTATATTACGATTTTTCTTTGAATAATTATTTTATAATAATTGTGCAAGTTATGAAACTTGAGATGTTTGAATGAAACAAAAATTTACTCAGTTCAATTAAAGAAATGTTTTGAATTTCTGATGTGATATTTGTAACTCGTATTGGTTCGCGTATACGGGTTATGGATGTTACATAAAAAACTAAAAGAAACTAAAAAACAACAACATAAAAAACATAAATAAAATTTATTCTAAAAGAAAACTTGTAAAACACTTTAGGGATTAAATCGAAACCACAAAAAATTACGGGGAGTTAACGAGATATTTAACGTTAATATTTCACTTTAAATACAAACTTAAGCATTTAACAAACAACAGGACTAAAATAAAACAAATCTCGAACTAATGGGTAAAATCTATAATTAACTCGTAAATATATAAATGATGTAAAAAGACTAAAATTAGGTCCTGTTTAAATTAACCGAGCAAATCTGAAATTAAACCATATGTTATAACTATGGAATAATGGCCAAAATATAAATATGGAAACATTTGACTATTAAAAACAATATTTTACGATACATTTAGTGACTATGACGAAAGATTACAAAGATAGAGTGACCAAAATCGTAGTTTACCCAAAGGTTAAGAAAAATTGGAGAGGGAAGGGGATTAAACGATCGTTTTTCTCCCTTTAAATACCCTATTATAAACCCAACTAACCTAATATTCTCCCCATTCCTTTCGGCTGCTCCCCTCCTTTTACCTTTTCCTATTTTCTCTCACTTGTATCTACGCGGTCGAGAGATTAAAAATCTCTCTCCGACCACCGCCTAATCGGCGCCAGTGAAGGTCTTGTTAGCTAGTTATTTATTGAATTTAAGTTTGGTTTATGTTCTTTGGGCAATACTTAAGCTTAAGGAAAGCTTAAGTTGTCTTAAAATCAAAAGATGAAGGAGTTAGGAAGGATTAAAGATAAGAGGGGGATAAGTGAAATTTTGGAAGAGAGTTAATAAATAAAGTTTGAGACTAGAATTGACTTGTCATCAACTTAATTAAGAAGTATAAAGTGTTAGAATTGAAATTATAACATGTTGGAAATTTGGTAGGATACTTAAATTCAAGATATAGGAAGAGATTTTGAAGATAAATATTGTTAGATGAATATAAATTGGTTTGAGTATGTGTACTTAAGTTAAAACTATAAAAGGGAATACGACATGAAGGATTTAAGCTAATATGGGTTAATTTTCGGGCTTCAAAGGTAAAATCTAGGCTATGAGTATCGAAATTATTTCGTCCAGTATCGATACTTCAAGAGTAAAAGAGTGATATTTGGTATAGGGGTATCGATACTAGTTGAACAGTATCGATACCATAAGCCTGAATTTAATAAGACATACATGAAGTATCGATACCTAAAGGATGGTATCGATACGAGGGGTACCGATACCATAAGGTCAGTATTGGCACTATTTTTGAAACAAAGATTCCAGAATACAAATTGGGTATCGATACCCAAGCTCGGTATCGATACCACAGCTAGGGAAGTATCGATACCCTACAGGGGTACCGATACTACTCCAAATAGAAAATGGAATTATGCCTTTCTTTTAGTTTAGAAAATTAAGGATCGAATCATGATTGTTGATATGTATATAAATGTATGATTCTGTAGATATCGAGCATAAGCAAGTTCTGGAACAATCGAAGAATTAGAAATGGTCGAGAGAGATAAAGTTCTAGAATTGATTCGAATCAAGTGAGGCTAAGGTGAGTGCATACCATAGTAAGTATAGATATTGTTTTATGGAAATAAGACTTTTGATAAGTCTATTTCCTATATTTGATTTCATGATTTCATATTCATGTACATGCATATGTTATGATTATAATGAGTATGTGTATAACTCATACATGCTTTAATATGATATAATATGTGATGTATGCGACCATAAGAGAACAAATCCAAGTTATGTATAATAAGACAAGTGATCATATGTGTGCATGTGAAGTAAGTGATGTGTTTATATGAGAGATGTTAGAAGAGATATAAAAATGTGAAATGTATCCATATTTAAGCCCATGATATATGATATGAGAGCTGTAGGTATAATTAGCATGCCAAGAGTCGAGGGTTTTATGTGGTCCTTCATGATATATATGTAATCCTTTGGAACATATATGCGGTTCTTCAGAACACATATTTGGTCCTTTGGAATATATATGTGATCCTTAAGGAGTGGTCCTTCTGGACAATTATGTGGTCCTTAGGAACATATATGTGTGGTCTTTCGGGACAAGTTTTAGTGCCCCTAGTGGGAATTTACATGAGCTATGGTGACAGCATATGTGCACATCCTCAGTGTACTCAAGTACCTCATATTCTCAGTAATGTACATGGGCATCCCAAAAGATAAACTGAATTAAAAACCTCATAAGATGATATGTTTCATTTGTGCATTTCGTGATTTTTGCATGATATAGTTGAGGAAATATATGTAAATGGTAATGTTATTATGGAATTTATAGAATTACATGTTTCATGAATTCATTGTTGTATGTTATATTATGCCTCACTAAGTCTGTGACTCAGCGTGTAAGTGGTTTACACGTAGGTACTAAGAAACAGGAAGACAAAAGTTAAAGTTTAGGAAGGTAGCATCTCCTTTGAAGCGATCAGATCAGAACTGATTTAAAACAGTATGTCATTTTGTTGTAATAATTATGTTGGCATGTAATTACAGTTTAAATCATATATGCTAGCGATTTTGTAATTATTTTGATGGTATTTATGTAAATTAATGCACTGTTGATTCAATAAAAGTTTTAAATTTTATGAGATTTTGTAAAAGTAAACGTTTTGAAAAGTCAATGTGACACCTCATATTCGAATCTGGGTCGGATATTGGGGGTGTTACAAATATTGAATTATAAACGTAACACAACTTACACTCCCCCGCTGGGGAGTAAATATTATAAAGGCCCAGCTTGGATATGATTTGACAAAAGTAATCCTTGGAAGTGCCTTGGTTAAGACATCAGCTAGATGATTTTTCAAGATACATAACTTAGTTTCATTGTTCCGCCATTCACTTGTGTTTGTCGATCTCCACATGTTTTTGTTATGTCGTGATATACTAGATTCCTAACAATACTTACCACTTACTTACTGTCACTCTGAAGTTCAAAGTAGTTGCTATCACACATTTATAGTTCAGTTAAGAGCCTTTGTATCCAAACACCTTTATAGATCCCGAGTGTCATCTCCCGATATTCTGCTTCTACACTACTCCTGAAAACTTCTATCAATTAATTCTCTAGCCCAACTTGAATCTAACAAAATATTTATTGTTCTATCTTCATGTTTTTTGAAAATAAACCCATGTCTCGGTATCATCTTTAAATACCTCAAAATTTGATTTACAACCTCCAAATGTTCTTCTCTATGATCATTAATGTATTGGCTCACAATACAAACGAAGAATGTTATGTATGGCCTAGTTAGGGATAGATAGATGAGTTTACCAACTAACCTTTGATAATGCTATATGTTTATCGGATTCCCATCTTTCTTTAACTTCAGATTCACTTCCATGGGAATTTCCGATGGCTTGAAACCAGTCATCCCAGTCTTACATGGTAAGTCTAGAATGTACTTTCTTTAGTTTATGACAATCCCTTCTTTGGATCTCGCCACTTCCATGCCTAGAAAATATTTTAAGGCCCGTAAATCTTTAGTTTCGAATTCTTTTGCTAGTAAAGCTTTCAATTTCTCGATTCTATTAAGTCATCACCTGTGATGATGATATCATCAACGTAGACAATCAAGTTTGTTTTTTACTTGTCTGGAGCAATCTTTACAAATAAAATGTGATCAGATTGACATTGTTTATAACTATCTGTCATGATAAAGAACCAAAAAGGAGGCCATGAGAAGAGTTTACCACTGGTAGAAATTGAGAAGAAGAGATTGAAGAAGACAAGCAAGAATTGAAGAAGATGAAACTTGAAGATCAATGATGGATCGAGCTAAAATAATCGACCATGGATGAAGAACTAAGGATGAAAAGAGATTATGAAATTAAGGAGAAGACGACAAAGTAGCACCAAGAAAACGAGGGAATTTGGGAGAAAATTTTCGACCAAGAAGAGAGAAAAATGAGAGAAAATACAAAGTGTTTGGATGAATGAAATGAAAGATTAAAGTTAGTTTAAACTATTTGTTTAAAAGAAATTAATACGAATAAAATGAGAGATACGATATATTTATATGATTTTTACTTGTTGGACTTGAAATATGCATTTTTGGTTTATTTTTGTTCATGTTTATATCCCCGAAGATTTTTTTTGATAGAATGCGACTAACAAAATTTAACCGTGAGATCTGGAAGTTTAAGAGGTTACAATCAACATAAAAAAATACATACGAACAAGTGCCAAGCTAAGCCTTGACATTTTTTTTGAGTCGTTACCCATTTTGGGCATTTGCGTCATCATTCCCCGTGGATTTTGAACAAATAATGTGATATTTACCATGAGAAGCTTTCTATAAAGAGAATTGAATTTCATTAATACTGAGGCAGAGTAATCATCCCATATTATCCAAAAACCATTTTCTTTGAATGTCATTTAAGCAAAATTTGTAGCACTCAGCTGGTGCTCATTCGCTTCAACATCTCACTCCCAAAATAAGCTGTTGTTGCTGCCGCCAAAAGTTGGTCTCGTGGGACTAGATACCTGTTGTGAAGACCAGGTGGAACCCACTTCCTTTGCATTCACTTCAACTGCATTGCTTTCGCTTACTGGTGAATAAGGTTTAGTCACTTTCTTCTTCACCAGTTCCTGATTCATTCAAACAAGATTTCATTACCAAAAAACCTTAAATCTTAACAGGGATGACCCAAGGCCATGCTTAGATATACTCCCACCTATGTTGTACCCATTTAAAGTTTTCAACATCTATGTCTATATTATATTATGTTTCAAACTCTGAAAGCATTACTTGAAAATAGAAAAACAATGTCACATTATGAAAAATACAGTGTGACGGCCTATGGTCTATATAATCCTGATAGATAAATAAAATCATCTTGAAACCAACCTTTGAAGAGTTCTGTCCATATGTAATCATTGCTCTTTCGATTGAAGAGTAAACTTGAAGAGCCTGATCAGTATCTCGGGTGCACTTTATGATACGAACTTGTTCTTTTGCATCTGTTGGTCCAGTCTTTAGATAGAGTATGAGTTGTGAAGGTGGAGCTTTGAAGTGGTCTTTCTTTCCCTGAGTCAACTCCATTGTTGCCAGATCATCCCACGGTACATCCCACAATACTGAACACGGATCCCTCATCGGGTTGAATTTCCTCTGAGTTATACTAGAGTTTTGCTGAAAAAGACAAGATAGAGTGTTATCCGTTAGTTTGATCTACAAAGAAACAATAACAATAAAAAGGCACCAGACAACCACAAAATATTTCCAACGTTATTCAACCTACTTGCAACAATATCACTCTTCGATGAGTAACTATAGTAATTTTTCCCTTTGGTAGCATGAAATGATCTTCATATGCATCTGATAATGCAAATTTTCCCCGTACTTTGAATAGATCAACCTGGCCCAAGAAAGAAGTTGACTGCGCCAATTGCAATATTACCTTCAAGATGAACCAGCAAGTTAAAAGAGTTGTACTCAACATAAGCAGGTTAAGTACAAAACTGCAACAGAAAATGTGTGGCCAACATAGACTAGAAAATGGGTCCTTTTCCACTTAATGTACTTAGAGCCAACCATTCCCCTCAGATGAGGATACAAAAACTAAAGTACCTGTCCTCGTGCTTTATACTCATCATATGGTTCAAGCAAATTATCACCACCAACTACACGAGGCAACCTCCTGCGGAGGAGTTGGTCATCTGAAGCTATAGCAGATGCTATCTTCATTCTCATAGCATTTGCACCTTCAGTAGTTTTTGACAAAAGATCCAGAACCCCACTCACAGGCTGTGCAGCTACACCTATTATGCCTTTTCCAACACCCTGAACGAAGCCTTCAACGCCCGCAGATTTTGCACCTTCAATAGGCTTTGTTAATATTCCAGTAACTCCTCTAAACAGGCCTTTTGCTAGTGCTCCACCCCCTTCTCTGATGACACCACCTAAGTCATCTACACCCTTGCTCTCCTGCCAGAAAAAATCAAATTGAAAAGAAAAAGTGAATATTCCTGGATGGTTAGCTCATAAGTCATACCTGCACAGAACCAGACAAGTATTACCCAAGAAGTGGCCCATCTGATAAGTATCGACTTTAATGCACAGTAGTATAACATGTATGCAACAGCACTACAGCAGCATGGGTAGGAAGAGGAAAAAAAAACAGATTTAACACTTAGCCGATTAGATGATCATATTGCTTTAGGGAGAAATCTACAAGAGGGTGTTACCCCATTCAGAATTCACTTGTTCGCCTTGAATCAAAGCATATTAGCAAGATATAGTATAATCTCTTTTGACAGTTATTATACAGGTTGTGCGCATCTTTCAGGGTTAAGGGTTATTACACACACCTTCATGTAGATCAAGCACCAAAGAAGCAAACAAGGAACATAATAACTTTATACAGTTATTTGCAGACACATGATAAACATAAACGAGCAAGAGAATATTCTGCAAATAATTACAGCAGAACAGACAAAGAGTACAAGCTTGAAAAATGAATGCTTAGTAATCCAAATTTGGGTTTGTGACATACCTGTCTCTGTCGGCCTTCAATGAATTTCTTATCCATTGATAAAGCAGCCACTCCTTTACTCATATGACCAAGAGCACTACTTGCATTGCCCAATACATCAAGGCCTGAGAGCAACTGAAGTGGTTGACCAAGAAGATCCTTTTTGATGTTTGCAATTGCATTACTAATCATAGTACTCTGCCTCATGCACACATTCTCATGAAATCTTTGATTTATCTTGACCTGTTTATTCAACAGTTGGTATCACAATGAGCATAACCAACCATGAATAGCTCATGAAAATTTAGAAAATCTTGAGACATGCATGGCTCAAAGAGTTGCCAGATACTTCATCCATAGAATGGTACTTAACTAACTGGAACACATTTATTAATAGTCACAGTTCAGTCTTACACAGCCAAACACTTGCATTTACCAAAACAAGTTCCATCAACCTATTAACTGCAACTTCGAGATAAGCATTTGGAGGTCATGATACAGCATGTAATTTTTTAGCTTCCATATACCAACATAAGTGGCTTTTCAGAACCATCCAGAGAATTGAAGGTCAAACTATTGAAAGATCTACAAATGAGGAAAAATAAGAAGGGGATTAAATGTAAAACTTACAGTCATATTCTCTGTGTTCCCTAGTGCAGTCATTAGGGATTCCCAGAAACCAAGTACTCCCCTAGGCCGTTGACTAGGCGACATAGTCATTGACACTTTTAGTCGAACTTCTGAGATGTTGAGAACCCTGCATTTCCAGTAAAATACAGGTGATAAGTACCAAGCAATCAAATTCCGAGAAAAGCACATTATTTAATATATAAATTGTAGAAAACTTCACATACCCAATTTGAATGATTGGATCAACTGACACGGCTGTAGCTTGTGTATCCTTTAATCTACCAAAATTGACTTGCTGTATCATCTCATGTATGCGCCATATTATAGGTTCATGAATGTTTATAAAAAATGCAGAATTATCAGGCCCCTGGTCATAAGCCAATCAAAATTAATGACTATAGAAGTGACTGATATGGGAAAAAGATAATAAACTCTGCTCATGATGTTGAGATTTACCATGTTCACATCGAAACCGATATATGGATAGACACATAGATCCAGTGATCCATTTGTCTGCAGAGTCACAGAAATTTTCATGACATAATCAGTCTCCTGCCCAATTTTCTGTGGCCTGAAGAGAACTGGTGTTGGAGTTAATGGCAATTGGTTATCCATTTGAATACCTCTCATTCTTAATTTGAACCTGAAATATCCACACAACAATCACAAATAATTAGACAACAAAGGTATGGAGACTGATTATATCATGAACTAAGTTTTTGACTAAAAAATTCAGAGCCTTCTTTGAGGTGCGAAAGGACAAAAAAAGGTATGGAACCCCCCTATTATCATTTAATATACAAGAGCGAGTTTAGAACTTTTTACACTCTACTTGCAAATACAAAGAATTTATGCATAAGAAAGACAACTGTATAACATATACACAAGTTTACTTGCAATAAGCAAACATATATCAACTGAACTTAACAAGGAAAATCCATAATGAGTTGATACATACAATTTATAACTTGAAATATAACTCCCAACAAAAGCAGGGCATCATTAAATAAATGGTACACGCTAATCGAATGAATAAAACTAAGGTTAAATTTTTACATATGACATGCATGAATGGCTCAAACAAAACATTTACAGTTATTTATTTATTTATTTTCTGGGAGCAATTTTTTGTGGGGCAAGAAAATTTTTATAGTGTCAACATAAATCTTGCTGTATTGTGGCATTGCAGAACCTATTAAAGCAGACATACCTGCTACAACCAGATCCCAAGCCAGTTGAATATGCCAAATGAAGATTTTGCACTGACAGGTATAATAACTCCTCAGGTGTATGATCAACAATGGACACACCAAGCTCAGCAAGCTCGAAAATGAAATGGAACTCACATTCTGATGTAGAATGCAGTTCATGAGACCCCTTTCTAGAGAAATCTGATAACGAGGCCGGAATCCTTCGGTCAGTGATTGCTGAAGGCTCACTTTCAGGCATCCAATCACTGATCTTAACAACATTTATTTTTTCTTCTTTTAGGATGGTAACCCGTAAAGCTCTAGCAGTGCCTGTAACATCAACTGGCAGATGGTCGGAAATCTCATCAATGTTGTAATTTTTTGAACTTGATGGGTCAGTCCCGTCTGCAAGGATTTCCAACAAATGCTGTCGACCAAGATCTTCCCATAAGAAAGAAACAGCAGTGTTGGGAAGAAGAAAGTGCCATGAATCACTGGTACCATCCACTTGCCGGCAGCGAATTGGTAAAAAGATGGAACGGTTTTCAACCCTGTTCCCAGACAATAATATTAGAAATGAACATAAGAAAAACACAAAAGAGAATTGGAGAAAGAGGATTATGTGTGTTGAACACAAAAAATCTGACCCGAGCTCTGATCCAACCCCATTTGACTCTAATAGTCAAGACCTAAACTTGAACAAAATATGTTAGAGGTGAATGTACCTAAATAATCCAGAACTTCAATTGACCTTAACTTTTATTCTTTTCTCTTTTTAAACAAGAACTTAAGAAGTAATATACGTAAAGTGGGTTATTCCACATTTATTTAGTCTTGGGTTGCTTGTGATCTTATATTCAAGTTGATCATCTTCACTTATTGTTAATTGGTTTTAAGTTGAATATTTAACAAGATATCAGAGCCAAAGTGTTCCGTTCTTACTACCTATTACCTCATGTGAGGTCATCCACATGTATGGCATTGTTAAACTACATGTGACGGGGGTGTTAAATAGTGTTATCCCACATCTATTAACTCTTGAGATTTCTATTAACCCATCTGTGGTTCACGTGTAGCCCTAAGACTACACATAAGGGGAAGTGCTAAGGTGGTGTGATGCCACCAGTGACCAGCCACATCTGTAAAGTAATAGGGTTCTTGTGGTCGTATATTAAAGTTTGGCACACCTGTTGATTCTAGGTTGAGATGCTTAACATAATTATCTTAAAAGGTTTACAACACAAAACTAGGCAATGTGTCAAAAATGACCATAAATCAAGATGACAATACCATAAACAAATCTCAAAATGACTTAACTTGAACTACAACCAACCAGAACCCAACTCGACCACAAAATTGTCACCCTTGTATGCTTGGAAAACAAGAAGTAAATGAAAGAGAAGAAAAGGAAAAACAATCCCCCCTAGTCCATCAACTATTCAGTAAGTATTCAAGAAGTTTTAAATGTATATATAGCATATGTGTATCATGTAACCTGTAAGGACTTGATGAGGAATTAGGGCGAAAGATAACTTCGTATCGTGAGCTTTTTGTTCCACTTCTAACTTCAACCTTAAAAAATAACTGATCCCTGCCATTGTCCTTTTTCAAAGAGATACGCATCAAACCTTCACTGGAGACACTAAAAGGTGTGCTCCAGTTGTATCCATCGACACGCAACTGGAAAAAAAAAAGGTCTTCCATTTAGTTAGATAATAATAACAAATATATGCAGGAATATACTGAAACATTGGTATGACTGATTTACACCAACCTTCAATAACTCAAGCTTAGAACTCCACCATTGAAAGGGTTTTGGAGAATCAGTGGGATGGATCCATTCCACAGTATGACAATCACACTGCTGCAGGCAAAGGCTTAAACCAATCCTGTTGACAAACAGCATGTATGGCTGAATATGAATGACCTGAACATAAGCCATTTTTAGTAGTTATTCAACAAAGAAAATATCTATAAATAAATATTGATAAACTATTTTCCAAGCTGTTTCAAAACCTAAATCATTATAACATCTTTTATACACTGATTCAATACTAGTAGTACCAAAAATTTATTCTGATCAGTTGTCAAATATATTCTGATTTGTCAGTTTGTGTTCAGTTAGTTATTCAGAGCTTGTAATGATTAATTATGAATTTATGATATATTTGGATAGTAATAGCTAATATAGTTGTAAGTTGTAACTTCAGGAGGGAAACAGCGTAGATCAGGCCAACTAATGATGTCTTACAAAACATATATTACTAAGATGATCAACAGTTAAGAACACAGTTTGAACCAGATTTGTCATGTCAGAAATTGCCAACACAAGGACAAATCAGCAATACATAAGGAAAGAACTGTTTCTGAGATCAAGGTTGCAATGATCTTAATGCATACTGGCAGTTATATCTATGCCAGAAGAGGGAAAATTAAAGTATAGCCTATGAAATTTCAACTAAGCGTGAAACAAAGTGAAGGTCAAAGTTTATTTTTTATTTTTTGATAGAAGTTGGAAGTCTCATTAAAAACTCCCTTCGTATTCGTTCACATACTAAGAAGTATGTTAACGAACATTGGAAGGAAGAAAAGAGTACCTCAAAGTTTATTAATAATAATACCCAATACAAAAGATAACACGGAATAACCTCCTATGGTGATATTCACCATTACAACAAACACCTTAAGCTCATAAAACCTCATCCAAAGTCACAATCGAATCACCTTATTTCTAAATACACCTCCAGCAATAGAATTAAAACAACGCAACAGAACATAATACAAAAGGGACGCAACACCTGCAACCATATAAACTAAATCAAAACACAATTAGAGAGACGAGATCTAATGAGATTCGTCTACTTCAGGAGTCCAAGAGTTTTGCTTGAAAGAAGGCTCTATCTCATGCACCATGATCTTGAAGGTCAAAGTTTATAAGAATCGTTACATTTTCCACAAGAAGAAACACTATTACTGGAGTAATTGGTAGAGAGAGAGAAGAAGAAGAATAAGCCCAATGATGAAAACAATGTGTAAGAAACAACAGAACAAAACTACGAGGCTTATTACCAGATGATGGAACCACAATAAAACATCTTTTATCAACAATCTTTTAAAGAATAGTTTTCTACCTTCGTTCTGTCTGAAGTCATGTTCACTAGAGCTGAAAGCTTATAGTACGACTCATCTGAACTGTTGCTTGAAAGAAGGCTCTATCTCATGCACCATGATCTTGAAGGTCAAAGTTTATAAGAATCGTTACATTTTCCACAAGAAGAACACTATTATGGAGTAATTGGTAGAGAGAGAGAAGAAGAAGAATAAGCCCAATGATGAAAACAATGTGTAAAAAACAACAGAACAAAACTACGAGGCTTATTACCAGATGATGGAACCACAATAAAACATCTTTTATCAACAATCTTTTAAAGAATAGTTTTCTACCTTCGTTCTGTCTGAAGTCATGTTCACTAGAGCTGAAAGCTTATAGTACGACTCATCTGAACTGAATGCTTTTACAGCAACACGTTCCTGGAATAGAAGTTACATGTCAGTTAGCAACCAAATGTCTGAAACACCACCAAACAGTAAATCAGAAGCATTTTACCTCTCCACCAAACATTATACCACAAAAGAGAAAATGGAAACAAGTCATATGTATGCACTTGGCCTACCTCCTTTTCAAGCTCAAGAAGAGAAATGCCAGGACTGTAAATTTCAGAATCATGAATAGCCACAGAAATGCCAACCCGTTGGGACACACATGTATCCTTTTGTGATGGAAACAGCATAACACCACTACGACCAGCCGAGTCTTGTGGGGAAAGCATACTAGCTACTGGACTGGTTGTCCTCGATAGCTTCAAGAACTTGGATGTTTCTCTTCAGACCAGAGTTTCTCCTTTCCATTGAGTGAGAAGTGGTCCGCAAAACCGTTCTTGCAGATTTAACTGCTCTAGAGAGTGAGCGTGAATCAGTGTCTGCAGTATCTGAACCTTCAATTTCTACCACTTGATAAGCTAGAGGCAGAGATGAATCATTGATGATCCAATATGGAACAAAAAACCTTAATGTTTTTGGTGCAGCATTGGTTCCCCCCATATCACTTTCAATACTCACACGCAATCTCCTGTAAAACCATGTGATAAGATCATGGAATGCATAAGCCAGAGTTTTGGTTTTTTTTTAAACACAAAAAAAACCCTTAAAAGAATGACAATCTAGTACCAATTATCCCTTTATTGTGAAAGTCTCATCAAAGTTACTTTTCTCAGCAAATAAATTCGAGCATATATGATCAAGAATCATGTACTATTTCCTTTCATGAATCCTATGCATCATTTCTGTTAAAAGATATAGAGAACAGTTTAATCAACTTTGCACTATTCACTAGGTTTCTGTACACTTTGAACTAACCATTATCAAGGAGCCACATGAGAGAAAAAATGTATAGTTTCTTTCCATTTCTTTTCTAAGTAACAAACGCAGAAAAAAAAACAATTTGTGCAGTATCCTCCCATACTGACAAATCAATAAGAGATGAAGGAAAAGTTTTAGATGTGGCCACCCATGAAGAGGGGAAAAAAAAGGGGAGGGGAAGAAGCCACAACCTTTTACTTCGCTGGTGGAACATCCAGAAAGATGAAATGTGAGCACCAGAAGAAAGATCCAGAACAAGAACTGGGTCCTGCAAGTATTAGTGCATTCACCACAAAGCTTTAATTGGCTCATAGATGAGGGGAATAAATACACTATCAGATTAAAGTAAAACTCGTTACCTTTTCCAAAATCCAACCACCCTGTACACGAAATGTAAGATATACAGGTCTTCGAATGTCCACTGAATATATATGAGCACTACTGCGTGAAAATATCATACCGTGATCTCGCTCAATATAGTTCCCTTCTTTTTCTTTTTCCCATACTGTGAATGCAGCAGGACAGGACAGTCGATTTTCCAACTTCAAAGGAGAATTAACAGATATCTTCCAATCATAAACAGGTTGATTGAGCTCTGTCTGAAGGACCGATGCATCTGCACCTACACTGAGCCATATTTGTCTACTAACTACAGTAGGAGAACAACAAAGAAGTACATCCTTCTTCTCAAGTAGACTTAAGTTAAGAGCAAAATTGGCCATTTTACTTCCATGCGGAAAAGAGTTTTGTCTATATAGTGAACTCTGATCTAAGAAAGGCTGGTCCTTCTCACCAACAAAACTAGAATTGACAGCAGCAAAAATGGCACGGCCCCATGTGTATGTGGGCTGTGGATAATCAACATAAGGACGAATACGTAAACACTGATCAGATCCTTTAGATGTACTTCCCCATGGTAAAACAGTAGAAGACCCCGGGCTTATGATAAAGAAGTCACTCTTTGTGCAACTTTTTCCTTGCTCAGCAATTTGTTGTCTTTTTCGGATCCAACGCCTCCTGCGCACACCATGACCAGATTTAACATGCGACTTTGAAGAAGTTAGGGGCCATCTCAGACTTTGATAATCAGGACCATAAGCCCAGCCATCTTCATCAAAAAACGGGATTATAATCAGGACCATAAGCCCAGCCATCTTCATCAACAAAACGGGATTTATCGAGAGTCCATGTTGATATCCATTGCCAACCATTGGGGAGAGGAGGTTCAAAAAAGTCCTTCAAGATAAAGGTGAGATGAGAATATACATAATGTCAAAGCAGAATGGATAGGGATAGAAGGGACAATACAATTTGGAAGTTATGCAAGAAATAAATCCCAAGAATATGGAAACTATTAGTACACAGAATTACTAACCTTCGATGAATATGAGAAGTCTTTGGTGCTCCAGTGCGGATGATCATTGCCTTGAAAACTAGACCATTTACTACCCCAACCAGCATTTGGTTGATAGCGCTGATTCTCAAAGATTTCTTCTACCACTATGGTATGACTGATTGATCCTGAATCCTGAATCTTTGATTCATGACAAACTGAAACATCCAAATTAACATCAGAATCATTTACAACTGTTGCAAGACCCCTGAAAATAGCATGCTTCCTTCCATTTTTCATCATAACTTCCATTGCAATAAATTCTCTTTGTAATGATTTGGGAACTACCGACAATGAAAGCAATGAACGAATGCTCTCCCATGAACCGTCTTTCCCTAACCTAATCCAGAAACCAACATCCTTATGAGAAGCATCCTTGCTTTCTGCATCTCTTTGAAAATTTGCAGTTGTGCTCCTCTCGCTGAAGATACCTTCTTTAAAGTACTTGCACCACGTCCAACAGGTAAAGAAAGTGCACCAACAACTTCACCTGCTTTATTAAATTACAAGATGAAGAGACTACAGCGAACATGTAAATATTCAAGTTTGAGGAAGGAGAATGACCGAATATTTTGTATATAAAAATAAAATAATAAAACAACAATATAATAACCGTCAGAGATTAGTTTCCTTAATTGAATGATTTGTAAATATTTTATTTAATTAGGATTTGTAAATATAATAATTGTTCTTGTTGGATAGTATTTTTTGATCTTTTTTCCTCTTGAGAGAGTATGGTCGATACGAATGATTCAAGCAGTACTGAAACTGCTTAAGAAGACACCATGAATGAAAAGAGTCACTCCAATTTGATGAGTGACTTACAAAACATACAAGCCTCCTATAGGTTGAATGGTAAGAATTACCTTAAGTGGTTCCAATTGGTTCGAACTTTCCTCAAAGGAAGGGGTAAACTCAGTCATCTTCTTGGAACTGATCCTCAGGAAGGAGATCCCAAATTTGAAGCTTGGGATGAAAAAGATTCCTTAGTCATGACTTGGTTGTGGAATTCAATGGTGCCCGAAATCAGTGACACTTGCATGTTCCTCAGTACAGTCAAAGAGATATGGGAGGTTGTAAAACAAACCTAATCAAAAGTTAGAGATGCTGCCCAGATTTATGAAATCAGGAACAAGATTTCGGCCACCAAACAAGGAAGCAAATCCATTACAGAATATTCTAACCTACTGTAGAATCTCTGGCAGGAAATGGATCACTACCAATGCATTCAGATGAAATGCAATGAGGATGCAGCAACTCTAAAGAGGTTTGTCGAAAAATATAGAATTTATGATTTTCTTGCTGGACTGAATATAGAATTTGATGCAGTGAGAGTCCAAATTTTGGGGAAGGAAGATCTGCCCTCATTAAATGAAGTTTTTACTACCATTCGTGCTAAAGAAGGAAGAAGAGGAGTGATGGTGGTCGAAAACAACCAAGTTGAGAGCTCATCCTTGGTTACCAGAACTGTCTCTGAGAGGTCAACATGTTTGGAAAATATTGAAGATAGACCTGAAAAAACAAGGACAGTAAACAATACTTATTGCTAAAAGCCTCGTCACACCAAAGAGAAATGTTGGAGGCTACATGGGAAGCCTCCTTCAACGAATAGAAATTTCACGGAAAAAGAAGGCTCAACAAGGGGACAAAACAGAGCTTTTGCAACCAGACAAGTGGCTAAACAGTCAGATGAACAATCTGTTGAGTTCAACCGAGAAGAAGTAGAAAAGTTGAAAAATCTTCTGGAAGAGAAACCCTCCTCTACAGGTATATCCTCTTCCTCTTCTTAGAATTCTAATGCCTCCACCCACATATCTACCCTAAAGTCCTGGGTAATAGACTCAGGAGCCACTAATCATATGACCAATTCTTCTCTAAATTTCATCACCTATACACTCTGTCCTAGCAACAAGAAAATTACAGTTGCAAATGGTACTATGGTAACAGTTGCTGGCCAAGAAGATATTGCCATTAGTAAAACTCTTCTACTTAAAAATGTTCTACATGTGCCAAAGTTGTTTACTAGCCTTATCTCTATACCAAAACTTGTTAAAGATACTAACTGCAGTGTTCGGTTTCATCCAACACAATGTATTTTTTAGGAGCAAGAAACAAAGAGAACGATTGGGTGTGCTAGGGAAATAAAAGGCCTATACTACCTTGAGGTCCTTGGTGGATCAACTAGTGTTTTGAATACTCAGCCTTTTTCTTTTTTATCTAATTCTACAGCCAATAAAGACCAGATATGGCTACGTTATTTTCGCCTTGGTCACCCACCTTTTAGACTTCTAAAAACTATGTTTCCTTCTTTATGTAAAACCATAAATATTGATGAATTTCATTGTGAAGTTTGTGAACTTGCAAAGCATAAACGTTCCTCTTTTCTAGCAAGTAATAAAAGAACCAGTCATCCCTTCAATCTTATTCATAGTGATGTGGGGGGCCCTCTGCCACTCCAAACATAATTGGGGCTAGGTGGTTTGTATCTTTTATAGACGATTGCAACAGAGTTACTTGGATTTATCTTCTGAAACAAAAGTCAGATGATACCTCTACCTTTAAAACTTTTTACACTATGATTAAGACTCAGTTTGGGGCTGAAATTAATAAAGTCAGATCTGACAATGCTAGAGATTACTTTAATCAATTCCTATCTCTTTAATTCTTAGACAAATGTATTATACATGAGTCATCTTGTGTAAATACTCTACAACAAAATGGGGTAGAAGAAAGAAAGAATGGACACCTCCTTGCTATAACTAGAGCCCTTTTGTTTCAAACCAATGTCCCTAAAAAATATTGGGGGGTAGCTGCATTGATTGCTACTTCTCCGATAAACAAAATATCCTCTAAAATCCTTTAATCAAAAATTCCTCTTCAAATCATTGTCAAATTCTTTCCCAACTTCAGTCCATCTCTTCATCTACAACCAAGAGAATTCAGGTGTGTTGCTTTTGTTCACATCCACTCTCAAAACCGAGGTAAACTTGACCCAAGGGCTTTGAAATGCATATTCATTGGTTATTCCTCCTCTCAAAAAGGCTACAAGTGTTATCACCCACCAACCAGAAAATTTTATACTTCTATTGATGTTACTTTTTTTGAAAAGGATAATTATTTTATTGTTCCTTATCTTCAGGGGGGGATATCTTTTAGGGAAGATAAGGAAGCAGAAGCATACCTTTTTTTACAGTCCCTTCTTGATCAGCCTCTTATTACTCCTCCTACGGCAGAAATACATTCTGGTCAGCCATCTTCCCCTATTCCTACTTCATCTTCTCCTCAAACTCCTCAACCAGTCATTAACATATCACAACCCAATATTCAAGATACTACTTGTCCCCTAAGGACCTATTCAAGGAGGAAGACACCTATACAGATTCAATCATTCCCTTCTCCTGCTCCTACTCATATTCCTATACAGCTTGAGGTACATCCTGAAACTTCTTTTGAACATAATGATAAATGACAATGTCATATTTGCTTCTGAACATAATGACACTGCTTCTGATTTTGAATTTCCCATTGCCATTAGAAAAGGAAAAAGAACTTGCACCACTAAACATCCCTCCTATTTGTTTATGAGTTACAAAACCTTTCACCCATCCACAGAGCATTCCTTACTAGCCTGAATGATATCACTATTCCTAAAACAGCATTGGAGGCATTAGAAAATGAGAACTGGAAAAAGGCTATGAAAGAAAAAATCGAGGCACTAGAAAAAAAACTTGGGACTTAGTAAAGCTGCCAGAAGGAAAGAAAACAGTGGGATGCAAGTGAGTCATTACTGTAAAATACAAGTCAGATGGCTCTTTGGAAAGGTACAAAGCAAGATTGGTGGCAAATGGGCACTCTCAAACCTATGGGATTAACTATCTTGAAACATTTGCACTCGTTGCAAACATGAACACAATGAGAGTCCTACTTTCTTTATCAGCTATCCAGGTATGGAATCTGCAAAAGTGTACATGGATATTCCACCTGGATTTGCTTTGACTACTAGACAGAATGTTTGCAGATTAAGGAAAGCCCTATATGAACTAAAACAGTCCCCAAGAGCTTGGTTTGGGAGATTTACCAAAGTAATGTTGGGACAAGGCTTCAAACAGAGCCAAGGTGATCATACTTTGTTTGTGAAACACTCTTCTTCAGGGGGAGTAACTATACTATTGGTGTATATAGATGATATTATTGTTACAGTTAATGATTCAGAAAGAATTTATAACTTAAAGTGCCTTGTAAAAGAGTTTGAAGTGAAAGAACTTGAAAGGTTAAATTACTTTCTTGGTATTGAGGTGGCACACTCACAACAAGGGGTTTTTATATCTCAACAGAAGTATACTTCGGATTTGTTGAAGGAAACTGGAAAACTAGGATGTAAACCAACAACAACACCCATAGAAATCAATCACAAGCTTGGAGACTCAAAGGAGGGTGATATGGAAGAAATTCATTTCAGAGACTGGTGGGAAGACTCATCTATTTGTCACACACCAGACCAAACTTAGCATATGCTTTTGGGGTTGTGTGTTGATTCATCATGCACAACCCTAAGGAATCACACCTAAGGGTTGTAGTTCAAATCTTACAGTACTTGAAGGGCACACCAGGCAAAGGAATTATGTTCAAAAGAGAGGAGAAATTGACTCTAGAAGCATACAGAGATGCAGACTATGCAGGATCAATAGTTGATAGAAGATCAACCTCAGGCTACTGCACCTTTCATGGAGGACAGAATGTGGTGACTAGATCCAGTGCAGAAGTTGAGTTTCGAGCCATGGAACTGGGAATTTGTGAATTATTATGGCTGAAAATTATTTTAGAAGACTTAAAAGTGAAATGGGATAGACCAATGAAGCTATATTGTGATAACAAGTCTGCAATCAACATAGCTCGTAATCCAGTTCAACATGACAGAACAAAACATGTTGAAGTGGATAGACATTTCATAAAAGAGAAACTTGACAGTGGTTTAATCTGTACTCCCTATGTAACCACTGGAAATCAAGTTGCAGACATACTTACCAAGGGACTACCTGGTAAAGACTTTCAGAAGTTAACAGGCAAGCTGAGGATGGAAGACATCCATGCCCCAGCTAGGGAGGAGTGTCAGAGATTAGTTTCTTTAACTGAAGGATTTGTAAATATTTTATTTGATTAGGATCCCTTACTCTAAGAGTTTGTATTCTGTTACTAGAAGTTGTTTATTACCTAGTTTAGAAGTTACCTAAGATAGGCCCTAGGTTTGTGTATTTATTTGTAAGTTTTTTCACTGTCGAATAATAAGAAAAATAGTCTTTTCGACAATAACTCTAGAAGAATATTAGTCACTTAGAAAGATTTCGAGACAAAACTAAATTTGAAAATAACATATTAATACATAGAAGAAAACAAACAAAGAGTAGAAACAAGTGAGCCACACTGTAATGAATAGAAAAACAAAATCATACAAATTAATATGCCTACGTAAATAGTGTTCTTGTTACCAAAAGATGCATGAAATTAAAAGCAACGAACATCAACTCATAAAAATATTAGATGCACACAGATTTAGCATCTTAAGCAACAAAAAACAGGTGGAAAAAACCCTTTAAAATATCTAGTTTTTTTTACGTGAATTCCCACTTTAAATCAAGTGGATGCACCAATAAAACATACCTTTGCCAGCTTTTGCTGAAAGATTTGTTACCTCCACCTCCAATTTAGCAACTCCCTGTGACAGTAGATGCAGAAATACCTTAGCAATTGGGAAATTAACAGATACTGCTTACTCGCCCTTGCATTACAGAACAACTTCACAGATTTAACTTAATTGTGTTTATTATAATATGATATTTTATTATAATGGAATATTGTACTACACTTAATTAACTTGCACCTTAATTCCAGAGAAATAAGAATAGATTAACAATTTTTACTGATCCACAAAGAAAACCATGCCTCCTTTTAACAGTAAAGAAGTAAAAACTAAAGATATAGAAGAATAAAATTGAAAAAAAAAAAATTGTTGAATACACAACAGACCCTATGAGGAACATCAAATATGAATATTTCATTCCACTTAGCAAAGCCTTTGTTTTGGTTCTCGATGTCTGAAACTAAGGGCTTCACACATTTTGTCCGTGCACTCTGAGGGAATAACTTTTGCTGATCTGTTGCTTGACTATCAATGACAAGCCGCAAAGCACAAAAGAAGTTATGGCTATTACCATCATTGATTAAAGTTAAATCCTGCCAAATAATACCAAGTCATATTTCTGTTTGGAAGATATTAGAATGCAAAGAATAAAAGAAGGGAACATATGTAGCAAAAGCTTCAATCGTAATAGAACCTTAGCAAAAAGAATCTTCACAGCAACAGAATAGCGCGGTTCCCTAGATTCCTCTGCAACATTTAACCTGTCCGAGAACCTTGGAGGTGGAACCCAAACCGAAGCAGTGTCACCATGATGAAGTTGATCAACCACATTTGAATCTTGCTCAATCTTTTTCAGGAACAGATCATCCCCAAGCTTATTCTCTACTGTCAAAGTTTGTAAGTCCTCTTCATCCAGGGCAGAAAAGGCTAGATCTTCATGTCCAGAATGAGCACAAGCCTCCTGAGAAAGAAACTAGTCAGATGTTTGAAAGAACATACAGAAGTATAGAAATCAGCTCAGCATCTTCTTAACCAAAATCTAGGTGCAAATTCCAGTTGACCTCAATCAGTTTGTTTGTTTTTTGTTCAAGCTCTAACTGTCGTCTCCATGAAAGAATGGTCCCCACTAAAGTTTCAAGATTTGCTGCACTGATATTTATATTCACAATATTGGTGGCAGCAATCCGCATCCACTTCCCAAGTCTTGATGTCACATTGGTATCATATGTTTCAAACCTTGAAAAAGAAACGATTAATAATAACTACACTGGACATCAGACTCATTAAAAGCTTGTGCACTTTTCCCGCTCTCTTTTCTCAGTAGGACAATAATAACTAAAATGAGGTAGAAACTAACTTGAATATGCCATCAAATGGCTCCACCAAGGGCTCCCATGCTTCCAGCTGCGTATTAAAGGTTGAAGCAGCAATAGATGCAATGAGAACTGCATTCATAGCCTCCAGTCGGCCTTGTGTTGCCAACTTGATATTAGCAATAGCAATGTCAAACAACGGTGTCATCTGAAAAGGTACAAATTTATCATAAACAGAAGGCAATATCTTTTTTTAATGTAAAAATAGCAGAGGGAATTCATTAGAAAGGCAATCACAACAAAGATTACGACACAGAAGGCAATATCATGTCAAGAGGACCAGGTCATTATTTTAGAGAACATACCATTCCATGTAGGTTGTCTAAAACAGTTAGAGAGAAGTATTTTAGTTTAATCTCAGCAGTAACATTTTCCCGTGTCATTGGCTTCACAAAATCACCAATAGTGTAAGCCAACTGTGTTGGCTTCTTTGTATCAGAGCAAGCAAGAAAAGTACAAGCCTGCAGAGAAACAGGAAGCGAAAAATATATTATTTTCCTTTTTCCTTCCAATAAAAACTCAGACAACAGAGAACCATAGACTAAGATTCCATCAGATCATACTTTTTAATCGACATTGTTTCATATTTAAAAAAATGATCGTATCTTAGAGAACTAAAACCAAATGTAATAATCATGGACCGAGTTTATTGAGCATTCTATTAACCTGATTTTCAACTTTCCAAATGCTCCAGCACTGGTGTGCCTTTGAGCTTGAAGATCTTAAAATTGGCACTTCAAGGATGTTGGCAGGGTTAACAAGATCCATCCTTGGGCAACGCAAAGAATCCACACACGGGGTTTCATCTGTTCTGGAAACAACACACCCCAAAGAAGCATAACCGGGGGGAGCAATTGGGTACCAGAAGAAAACTTCATCAAGATTTTTCCCTCTAATTTGGGCTATTTTTACAAATTTCACTGGCTTTGAAGAGATTTCTGGATCATCAGACTTAAAAATGATACTCTGAGCAGGTGGTTCTAAGCTGGAAAGGGAAAAATACAATACAGAATGTTAACAGAAAATCATAAAAAGATCAAACGATACCTAAGAGTTTGAAAGAAAAAAACATTCCAAGACAAAAAGAACCAACCCTTCAACAATGCAATCACCCACTATGGCATAACCACAATGCGAAACAGGCCGCCAAATTGATAGCGGCCTACGAAGTTCATTGCCTATGTCCCACCACATTCTCTCAAAGTGAGGGGTTGACACGTAACAACTACTTGCTTTTGAAATTGACCTGAGAATGTTCCAACCAGATGAACTAGCACTCTGGTCACATGTTTGCTGACTAGCATGATTATTACCCACAGCTAACCCAGGAACATATTCCTTGAGAGACGCATAGGACCAAAATGAATTCCATAGTAGAAGATGACTCAGGTCAGAACTTATTTTTTTGGAAGGGCATGTGGTTGAAGAATCGGCATAAAATGATCCAATAACATTGTCCAAACGCCAAATGCTAAATCCAGAAGCAAAATGCTGATTGGATGGTGCAATCAGCATGCATTCTGAATAAGTTGCAGATGTTACAAGGTCAGAGCGCAGGCAATATACAGCATCGTTTGGGGGCGGATGCTTCCCTATATTTGCTACACAACCCATTGAAGTATAACCCGGGGGTGGGATGGGAATCCAAAGGAAACAGTCACTGTCAACATCAGAAATGTTATCTGCTACTGATCCAAAGACGAGAGAAAGAGAGCCAATAAGATCAAAACCCACTGGCTTCCGCACACGGCCATATGTATTACTTACTGCTAGTACTGCCTGTGAAGGAGGAATTGGCCTGGAGAACAACAGAACGAAAAGCATGTTAATAGTAAAAGATTGAGATATTGATTAACGAAAAAAAGTAAATATTGCAGATACAGAAATAATCACATGAAAACACCAATTGCATTTAGAAAAAGGTAGAAAATATTTGGAACAAAGTGCACAAGTAAAAAAGACTCAAAGACTAAATTAGTAAAAAAAAAATTAAAAAGAAAAAGAGTCATCGGAAACTGACGAGCATTTTCATCTTAAAATATCAAAAGAATAATAAATACTCTCTTCAAAGACACCTTCCTAGTTTCACTTCCTAGTCAGAACCTATCTTGGCCAAAAACCGTTTCCCTAGGTCCAGAAATGAACAAAAAAAACCACAAAGACAGATATTCAGCCTAAAAACAAACTGAAAAAGTCCATTAAAACCCAACTCATACTCAGAAAAATGCCCATACATCAGTCCCACAAAGATAGGAATCAACAGCATAAGACCAGGACTCTATTTTAATTTAAATATATGCCATTGATGATAACCAAGATTACTATCTGAAAGAGATTCTAGTTTGGAAGAAAAAAGAGACGGAGAACCATAAACCTCAGATTCTCTGACCATAAATGTAACATGGAAAATCAACTTTTACCTAGATGTCACACTATCTCCCAATATAACATAGTTTGTTGGAGCTCGTGGCCTCCAACAAACTTTTACTATCTGAAAGAGATTCTAGTTTGGAAGAAAAGAGAGACGGGGAACCATAAATGTAACATGGAAAATCAACTTTTACCTAGATGTCACACAATCTCCCAATATAACATAGTCTGTTGGAGCTCGTGGCCTCCAAATAGTAAGATTGTTATGAGATCCATTTTCTGCAGACAGAATAAAACAAGGTGGAAAGAAAACCCAAAAAATTAAAATAAAATAAAAAAGAGAAAGAGAAAGCATCATACTTCTTCAAATGAATTGGAAAAACAAAACAAAACCTTTAGGTGACACCCAAATTCTGTCAAAATTGATGCAGGGAGCCAGAGGAATAGCATTTCCAAACTGTAATGCTGCAGTTGCTTGGTTCAATAGGTTAAGTATAAGAGAAATTGCACCACCTAATGAAAGATGAATACAAATATCGGTTAACATCAGAGACATGTTCGTTTTGTCTTTAATGGAAGTATATCCCCCATAAATATCCAGTGGATCCAGAATGGTAAGGCCAGAACCAGCCTCCACAGTAAGATCCTTCACTAGAGCACGGATCCAGGTATCCTTTTCCTTTGATGCAAACCTGTTCATAAGATAAATACACAAAAGAAAATACATTTGTATTATTCTCACCAAAACCTTGATTTACATTAAAATACCAAAAGGATATTATTCAAAAACCATATATGATAAAAAAAACATGAACATTTGGAAAATGTAAAGGGGAAAAAAGAAAAGAGGGGACAGTGTGAGAGAATGCTGACTAAAATAGAGACAACAAAAAGTAATACATAGAAGTTTCAAAACATTCACGTCAATAACACCTATCATTGGTCAGGTATATGAATAGTTTTTGCACAAGGTATTATTCACAACTGGAAATGTTAAGTTCTGTAAAGAAAAAAGTTCTAGTGTAGTACTGTTAGTTATAGTTACTTTTCTTTCAAGTTAGCATAGACTCAAACTGAAAGCAGGGTCTTCTTAGCTTAATAAATATGCTATTTATGTGCAACAAACTATACTTGCCAAAAAATATCAATGAAAAGAGTGAAAACATCAATTCGTACTGGTTTGTTTCACATATTAATATTCCTTGAAAGGAAATTGATACATAGTACATACTGTCAGAAAAATTCGTGTAGTAATAGTAGTAATCCTATTTTGTTTAGAAGTCTTTTAGGATAAGAAAGATAAGTAATAGGAGTATTCATAATCTAGATAGAAGTTTATATTTATTAGAAAAGTCCTATAGAAGTAAGATTCACAATCAATATAGAAGTTTATATCTATTAGAAAAGTCCTATTAGAAGTAGGCAACTCAATCTATTTAAACTATGGTAATCTCCTACTTCAATTATCAGATTTTTTGTTATTGCATTAAGTCTTTATTCTTCCTTTCTCTCTCGATCTATTCTCTTAGATTTTTTTTTTTTTGATAGGAATAGAAGGCCTCATTAAAAACCTCCCTCATAGATAGCCCTTTCCTAACAGAAAGGATCCACTTTTGGAGGGAGGAAAAGAGTGCCTCGTTTTATTGTTGAACCAAAATTACATAAAACTTAACAATTACACCAGAAATCCTGACATAATACTTAATAACTCCACCAACTTGAAAAACCTACTAACTGTGAAGGAAAATAACAAGCATCTATAGTCTTACAATCAACCAATCCCCATCTTTGCTAAACTATCTGCCTCCACATTACAAGCCCTTGGAATCAACCTAATTAACACCACCTTTTCAGAGAAGAGTGAGAATTTCTTTAACTAGAGGCAATAAGAACACAGGTGCCAAAGCCGAAAAGTGAACCCACTCCACTGCTGACTTGCAATCACTCTCAACAATCAATCTAGAGACAGAAAACCATCGTGATGCCAAAAAGATTTCAATTCCATAAGAATACCTCCAACCGAGTCACTTAACCTTACAGCTCCATCAATGTTCATCTTCAAAAAATCAACAGGGGGTGGTAGCCAGCAAAGCACAGAGCTATCCTTTGATTCAGAAACCGAAATTCCATCTGCAAGTGAAGGATCCCCAATGAGCAGATCCTCCTGTATAGGAATTTTGGGATACTTGGCTTTAAACCACTTAGATAACCTAAATCTTACAATGAAAAACAGAGAAAGCCTATCAAGAGATAATCCTTCAAACACAATCTCATTTCTTGCTTTCCAAATAGACCAAAAAATGACTCCCGGGATAAACTTCCAAATCAATGAATTCACCCTCAAATTCCCCCACGAGATAAGTAAAGAAGGAGGGTCCTTTGGTAAAACTACATATAAATCCCAAAAACTTACTACTTTATTCCATAATTCCCAAACTACATTACATGTAATAAACAAAAGTTGCACTGATTCCTCATGCTTCTTACAAAATGTACAAATGATATCTTCCCCTAGGGACATTCCTCTGTTAACCAACTCCACTTTTACTGTCACTTTCTAATGGGCTAACTGCCAAAGAAAGGCTTCAACCCTTGGTGGGGACAGTCCCAACCACACCCCCGTTAACCACAGATCATTGTTCCCAACTTCCTTCCCGAGCGCATTCCTGCAAGATTTGATCGAGAATAATCCATCCCCACTAGCTGACCACGAGAGACTATCCTCTACAGAATCTGAAATTTTTATATCCTTAGATTTCAGCACATACAAACATAAGATAAATTAGATTGCATGGATCCACACAAGGGTAAGTCAAGACATGCATACATATATAATGGTATAGTCATATACACACCCTTACCTACCAATCTGATGTCGTAGACACACATATGTTAAGAGAAAGAGAGAAAAGCAAATCTTCTGTGATTTAGATCATTTTGCAACAATATACCAAATCTTCACTACAAACATCTTTAATGTAAATTTTCTTTCAAATTCAGACCAAATAAAATGGGCGCTACAGCTTTATCTTTCTTCTACCAGTTTTTCATACTTAACAGCAGGAAAAAAAATTCCTTTTGAGAAACCATCTATTGCTTCTTATCACACACCAGCAAAATGAAAATAACTATGAGAAGATACCAATTATATAGAAGCAAGATTTAATGATACTCTTACATGAAGTTCAAATCCATTTTTGCACGCAAAAGCTTTTCACCATAAGATGAATCATCCAAGTAAGACTTGGTACCATCAAAGAACATAAACTCCGAAGAAACAACCTAACCACAAAGTAATGTTAATCAGATATCGTCATATCAGAAAAATGAAATTTCAGAAATGATGAGGATGGATCACAATTAACCAAGTAATGTAATCAGATCAAAAACATCATCAAAGAAAAACATACAATTCAACTATAAATGTATTCCAAAATGTCGAACCAACGAATCAACACTTGTACATATGTATTTGTCAACTAATTGATCATACTTAAGCAAACATAATGCACGAATCATTCTGTTGAGAACTCTAGCAACAAGGAGAATTAAGAAAGTTATTAGATAAAGCTCAAAGTGAAGGCTAGCTACACAACTAGTCCGTACCTAAGTTACTCAAACTCGGCTAGAGTGTCGGACACGGGTATGATGAGATTTTCTAAGTTTTTCTATATATTTTGAGGACCTTTGGAGGTCATATCCCCTTATTCAAGTGTCAGACACAAGTAATTGATGAGAATGTAGAGTCTGAGCAACATAGGTCCATACTGCCACTCTGCCATAAACGGATACTTCCAGAAATAGAAACACGTTGACATTTGGTAAACTCAGTTCCATAAACAAAAGCAGGCAAGGAGCTCTCTGTAAACCACTGCTACTTTTTTGAGGAAGTGCGGTGTACAACATTGTTAAGATTAGCACATTCACACTCTGAAGCAACAGCTAAAGAAGTTCAAGATTAGCACAAACAAGGAAGTTCAAGATTAGCACAAACAATCATATGTTGATACTTTTATGTGCGTACTTTCGAAATGCGTGCGATAGGTAGAGAGAGAATTAGAGAAAATTCGAAAAAGTCCATTGCTTCCGTTGAGGAATGGATTGTGTTCATTGATAATCTTAGTAAGAGAGCTTCAAGACGTGTGTTAAGGGATTATTTTAGTCCTTTTGGTCAAATTCTGAGAATTTTTATTCTACGATTTTTAGAGAAATCAAATTATAAGTCCTCGACGTTTGCTTTTGTTCAATTTGTTGATGAGGAAAGTAGGAAGAAAGCAATCCAGTTTGTGAATGGGAAGTGGTTTGATGGGAGAAGAATTTCTGTAGGGGTTGCTAAGTATCAGAAAGATAAGAGAAGGGAAGAGGATGTGGGGAAGAGGGTGGTGGAGATCAAGTCAGGGGGAAGGGATACTTCAATAATTGGGAGGAAGGTTGTGTCTTTGAGAAGCTTGAGAGATGGAAGATCATATAAGGAGGTTGTAAATTCTAAATTTATTATGAGAAGAGATCCAAGGTCAGGGGGTAACTTGGAGGGTATTAAACAGAATGCTCCTAGTATGAGAAACATCTGGGATATGCATATTCCATCAGACAACTGGGATTGGGTGAAACGATCATTAACAGGGATAATGAAACCTCCTTTTGACCATGTTTCATTAAAGGAAGCTTTGGAGATGGAGGGGGTGGAGGTTCAGGTTACGAGATGGGGTTACGTATAGAATGCATGCATCATTACTTTCAATTCAGTTGAGGAGTTTTCTAGTGTATGGATGAATAAGAAGAAAGAGTTGTTCTTATGCTTAGACTGGTTGGCACCAGTATTGAACAAAGATGGAGTTTCGGCGGCCCTTTGTCAGATAGAGTTGAATGGATTGCCTCTATTATGTTGGAATGAGTCATTCTTGAAAAAACTCTCTGGGAAGTGGGGTGAGTTTTTAAGTTTTGATGAGGAATCAAGGACAAGATCAGACATGTCGTCGGCGACAGTTCTCCTCAGGGTGGAAAGTCCTTATGATATCCCTGATAAGGTGATGATTGGCTCGTATGGTAGATCCTTCAAAGTTATGATTTCAATGGGTTCTGTTTTGAATAAACCAAAAGAAACGGGGAGGAAGAAGGGGGAGAAAAATTCAAAAAAACAGAACACTGGTTATGTCTTGTCTAAGGAGGAGGTTGGTAGATGCCATACTATGGCAACAGATGGTGAAGAATTCTCAGATGATGGGAGGCTTAAAGTCCTATCTTGGTTAAATAATGGGCAGAACAGTGGAGTTAATGGAGTCTGCGGGGGACAAGTCTAATTGAGTAAGTCAACAACGGGTAACTCTAATTATGGGCTGCCAGGTTTCTTGGAAAACAGGACTAACCAGATGGGAAGTCATGTGGGCTTGGGATTGAGGGAAACAAGTGACCAGGTTGACTTTGTTCAATCAGAGGATAATGAGGTAGTTGTTTCACCAATTAGGAATTTGATTCCTAGTGGGCCTGCATATAATATAAAATGGGTTGGCGATAAGTTTATTTTACAGCCCAATCTCTTCTCTAAAAATTCTATGCTTGTTGCTGTCAAGGGGGAGACTGGGGTGGTCAAGGATAATACTCACGGGGAGATGGAAGTGGTTCTAAGGAAACAGGGTGTTGAATTGGAAAAAGTTCAGTCTGCTGGCTCGAGAAGTCTGGTGGGGGATCATGTATGCAGTTTTCATAATCATAATTCTGCAGAGGGGCAAATTATTAAATGATCAATCGGATGGATTAAAGAAGATGAAGATGGTTATGGAGGATGACCAGAGTTGTCATAATGAGGGAAGCTTCTCAAGTATGAGTGTAAGAATCATGAGTAATATGAATCAAGAGGGAATTATTGTAGAAATCAGAGTAATTCTCTGTAATTTCTTATACTTTTCAATATGACAGATTACATATTTATATACAAAAGCTCTCTCTAAAGTAGAAAACTCTAAGAAAGGAAAAATAATAATCCTAGGATATGAACCCTTAAAATAAGGGATTGTAGAAATAATTTACAATATCATATCTCTATAGGAATGGTAACAAATCATATCTCTATAGGAATGGTAACAAATCATCTCTATAGGAATGGTAACAAATCATCTCTATAATTCCTACACTCCCCCTCAAGCTGGAGAATATACATTGTATAATCCCAGCTTTAATAGGAATTTATTGAAAACAGGCTTTGGCAAAGCCTTAGTAAGAATGTCTGCAACTTGTTCTTGTGAAGGAATGTATGAAAGTGTGGCTGCCTTTTTGTTAACTTAATCAGCAATAAAATGCCTATCAATCTCAACATGCTTTGTCCGATCATGTTGAACTGGGTTCTTGGCAATTTGAATAGCAGATTGATTATCACACAAAACTTCAAAGTGATCCTCTTGATTAGTGACAAGTTCTTTCAGTAGTTTAAGTAGCCAAATTCCTTCGCATATTCCCAATGCTAGTGCTCTAAATTCAGCTTCAGCGCTACTTGAAACGACAGATTATTTCTTACTTCTCCAAGTTGTAAGGTTTCCCCAAACAAAGGTGAGTAGCCACTAGTGGATCTCCTTTCAGTAAGGTCTACGGCCCAACTAGAATCTGTAAAGATCTTAACAGTTCTGTCTTGTGTCTTCTTAAACATTAAACCGTGTCCTGGAATTTTCTTCAAGTACTTGAGAATTCTATTTGCTGCTGCCATATGCTCTTCAGTAGGATTAGTCATGTGTTGACTTATCACATTTACAGGAAATGCTATATCTGGCCTTGTCAAGGATAAATAAATTAGTTTCCCAACTAATCTTTGAAATTTCTCTTTGTCTACCAAGGACCCATCTTCTTTGTTAAATTTCAAGCTTGCCTCTATTGGTGTATCAACAAGAAAACCAGTTTCTTTGAGTAAATCAAGTACATATTTTCTTTGGTTGATCACAAGTCCTTCTTTTGACCTTGCCACCTCCATTCCTAGGAAATACCTTAGCTTTCCCAAGTCCTTGGTTTCGAATTCCTTATTTAACAACTTCTTCAAATTGCAAATCTCTTCTTCATCATCTCCGGTGAGAATTATGTCGTCCACGTACACAATAAGGATAGCTTTTTTATTTGTAGAAGTTACCTTGATGAAAAGAGTATGATCGACGAGGGATTGCTTGTAGCCGTTTTTTAGGATGACTTTAGTGAACCTCTCGAACCAAGCTCTGGGTGATTGTTTTAACCCGTATAGAGACTTGTTGAGCTTGCACACCTTGTTACTTCCTTCAACAGACTTTAAGCCAGGTGGCAACTTCATATAGACTTCTTCTTCTAGCTTGCCATTAAGAAAAGCGTTTTTTACATCAAGTTGGTGTAATTTCCAATCGCAATTTACAGCCAAACTTAGGAGTACTCGAACAGTATTCAGCTTCACCACAGGTGCAAAAGTTTCTGTGAAATCTATCCCATATGTTTGTGTAAAGCCTCTGGCCACTAGTCTCGCTTTGTATCGTTGGATGCTACCATTTGAGTTATACTTTACAGTAAAGATCCATTTACAGCCAACAGCCTTTTTTCCTTGAGGAAGGTCTGTAACAATCCAAGTAGCATTTTTCTCCAGTGCATAAATTTCCTCTTCAACAGCCCTTTTCCATTTTGAATCCTTTAGAGCTTCAGCTATGCTTGTGGGAACCTGTTCTTTATCCAAGTTTGTTGTAAATGCTTGAAAAGACGACATCAATGAATTATAACAGCAAATTTTTCAATAGGATGCTTGGTGCACTGTCTAACCCCTTTTCTAATAGCAATAAGAAAGTCATCTAGAGTAGGGGAAGTGGACTTATTGATTTCTTCTTCTATTTCGGCAGCTGGACCCAAATCCAATTCTCGGCAAGCATCAGATTGCAAAACAGCCTCAGGAATATGTTTTCTTTTCCTTGTATAAAAACGGAGCTGTTTGATTGGTGTTGTTTGTGGAATATTTTGAATGGGAGTAGGTGTATTTTCAGGAAGGGTATTTAAAGTGGGTATGGGTGAAGTAGTGATAGGTACTACCGGTGGATCAATGGGAGTAGTTACATGTGACAAATCTGTAGGTAAGGACAAAATGGTGGCAATTTTGAAGGTTGAGAATGAAGAGTAGGAGGAGATAGCTGATGTGGCTGAAAATCCTTCCATGTAGAGTAGGAGGAGATAGCTGATGTGGCTGAAAATCCTTCCATGTCTCCCCTGAATTTCAACCTGAGTGAAATAAGGATCCTGCTCATAAAATATTATATCCATAGTGGTAAAAAATCGTTTTGAAGGAGGATGATAGCATTTATAACCCTTCTTAAGTGAAGAATACCCAACCAGTATACACTTTAATGATTTGGGATCTAACTTGGACTTATTAGGAGCAATGTTTTGGATAAAAACAGTACAACCAAATATTTTAAGTGGAAGAATGGATGAGATAGGTTTAAAATGGGGAAAGTATTGCAAAAATATAGATTGAGGTGTTTGAAATTGTAAAACCTTACTAGGCATTCGATTTATTAAATATGTGACAGTTAATAAGGCTTCCCCCCACAAATATTTTGGAACATTAGTGGTAAATAGAAGAGAACGAGTAACTTCAAGGAGGTGTCTATTTTTTCTTTCGGCAATACCGTTTTGTTGTGGGGTGTCAATACAAGAACTAATCTGAACTATGCCTTTTTCCCTGAAAAATGCACCCAAAGACTTAGCAAAAAAATCACTGACATTATCAGATTTAAAGAGCTGAATTTTAGACCTAAATTGAGTGAGAACCATGTTATAAAATTGGGTAAAAACACCTGCAGTTTCAGATTTATCTTTTAGCAAATAAGTCCAAGTTATCCTACTGTGATCATCAATGAAAGTGATAAACCACTTACAATTATCAGCATTCTTCACCCGAGGACCCCAAATATCACTGTGGATCAAAGCAGAAGGGTGAGAAGGCTTATATGTAGAAGGAGAATAAGTTGATTTAGTGTGTTTGGTAAGAGAGCAAACTTTGCAAGAAAAAGAATTTGGCCTTTTATGAATGAATAGAGCAGGAAAAACTTTTGCAAGATAGTGAAAACTAGGATGACCTAAATGATAGTGCCATAACATAACATTATCAACTATTTCTAAAGCGATGAAAGATTTTGAGATTTCGGTTTTAGTAAAGGCGGGAAGAATGTAGGGACCATTCTGCAAGCTGGCCTTACCAATCATCTTCTTCGAGTTCAGTGCCTGCAAAGTACAATCAATATCATTAAAAATTGCAGAGCAGTGCAAGTCGGTGGAAAGTTTACTAACGGAAACGAGATTGCAAGCCAGATTTGGTACGAAGAGGACATTTTTAAGTACAATCTGGTCATTGAGAATAACAGTGTCATGTCCTTCTATTTTGCACAGAGAACCATCAGCCGTTTTGACAGCTTTACCAAAGTTTGGAAAAAAATTGCAAAACAAATCCTTATTACCAGTCATATGATCCGTAGCACCAGAATCGAGGATCCAATTAGGGGACGACTAGGAGGAGAAAAAAACTGTAGCATGAGGTTTACCTTCTGGTTCTTTCATGGCCAGATTACCTTCTGATTGAGCAGCAGAACCAGAAAAATTTTATGGATTTTAAGTGATCTCCGGAGTAGGAGAAGTTGTGGACATCATCTAGGTTGGAAAGAAACCGTAACCTAAGCTGATACCATGTAGAAATCAGAGTAATTCTCTGTAATTTCTTATACTTTTCAATATGACAGATTACATATTTATATACAAAAGCTCTCTCTCAAGTAGGAAACTCTAAGAAAGGAAAAATAATAATCCTAGGATATGATCCCTTAAAATAAGAGATTGTAGAAATCTATTTACAAAATCATCTCTCTCTATAGGAATGGTAACAAATCATATCTCTATAGGAATGGTAACAAATCATCTCTATAATTCCTATAATTACATCATGTCTTATTAGGGAAGGTCAGATTATAGCAAAGAAAGATCACCTGGTTCTAACTAACAATCAGGTTAAGTGCATTTCTCGATCAAAAAGTCTTGATAATCAGAGAATGCTGAGAATTGCTCCACATCGTTCAAGAAGTGTGTGCTCGGATAGTGAAGTGGTTGTCAATTTTTTTGATAGAGTTTATAGAAGGGTTGTTAGAAGCATGGTAAGGGATTCGTTGGAACAAGTTAGGGAGACTTCACAATCTTCCCAATCTTCTGTTAAAGCTAAGAAGGGAAACAATTTTTATGTGCATTATGTCATAACTATGAGGAAACAATTCAACATATTTTTATTGGTTGCTCGGCTGCAGCGGAGTTGTGGAATAGATTCTTAAGGGTTTTGGAATATTTCTTCAGTTATGCCCCAAGACCCTTCTTCCCTACTTTGTTCTTGGTCTTATCTTAGGGAGTACTCTACCATCTGGAAATTTATCCCTGGTGTAGTTCTCTGGTCTTTATGGAAAGCTAGGAATTCGGTAGTGTTTGAAAAATGGAAATTTGACAGTTCTTCTCTGTTCTTCATTTCCAGATTTAGGCTCACTAAATGGTTTTTAGCTAAATTTCCCTATGCTAATATTCAGGCTGATTTACTAATAGGTGATCCATCGCTTGCAGACAGAATCACTACTAAATTGTTTAAGAAGAAGAAGGTTAATTGTTGGTCTCCGCCCCCTTATGATTTTTTTAAATTCAATGTTGATGGAGCAGTGACAGGTGATGGGATGAAGGGTGGAATTGGGGGAGTTTTGAAAGATTCGAATAGCTCTACTTTAACCACTTTCTCTAATGCCGTGGGACCTGGTCCTCCTATGTTTGCTGAGCTAAAAGCTATTAAACAAGGAATTGATATATTACTTTCATCGGATTGGGCATTGAAGGGTAGACTTATCATGGAGAGTGATTGTAAAAAGTTGTGGATTGGATTTTGATGCCTTTTTCTGCCCCAAAGTTTTTTAGTTCTTTGGTTGAGGAAATTGGGGCCTTTGTATCTGCTAGAGGTATTATCATTAATTGGATTCCTAGGAGTTGTAATTGGGAAGCAGACAAACTAGCTAAGGAAGGGATTGGTTGAAGTATACAGGGGTATTGTTGTATTGTTATGTAGTTTATTAAGGGATGTTTATTATGTAAGTTGTATCTTATGTAATTATGGTTTATTAATAAGATGAGGCACCCTTTTCCTCCTTCCGCTAGTTGCCTCTTTTATGAGGCTTTTAATGAGGGAGGTTTTTAATGAGGCTTCCTATTCCTATCAAAAAAAAAAATCATATGCTGATACATTACAAAAAGTTTAAGATCAAGGCTCATTTATTTAATTATTGAATTTAAAGAAAAGAAAACTGGTATAAAACTAAAAAAAAAGGATCATAGAATACATTGTTTTAAAAGAGGGGCACGGGTGGTAAGGACATGCTTGCAGCAGAGTGGAACTAGAGTTCTGATCAGGAAAACATGAATGCTAACAATATAGGATTTAATGTGAGAAGCCAACAACTATAGGTTTTTCCTTTAACACTCCATCAAGGATTATTTAAAATACACAGATTTTTAAGGAATTACACTGACCTGAGCTTCAAAAGTGAAACTCTGCACAGCATTCTGGTTATCTTGTAAATCTGAAGAAGCTTTTGAAGTGTTTATTAAATCCATATTTTCTGCTTTCTTCTTGTCTCCATCGGAACTTATATTATCCATCAACAATATGTCAACATCATCTTCTGGTGAGACTGAATAGCTGCTATCATTGCTCAAGTATGTATGCTTTCTCAAAAGCGAACCATTCTGATGAAGAAGTTTTCAAAAATAGAAAGGTAAAATGGTGAAAAAGATATCATTTACAATCAAGATGCTGTTAAACTACAGATAATTCTAAAGAAAATTGCATATGACAGCAAGTCTCAATCATGACCATCAAGTACCCAAGTAGAAGAAACATCACGTATAAATATAGAGTATGACAGCATTCAATAAATAACGCAACCATAAGACAAAAGAAATAAGAATCTCTATTTATATGGGGAATATTGTTCTACATTACAACAATTCAAGAACAGCATGTTCTTGAAGTCAAACCATATTTCCAGAATGTAAAATTCATCAATTTCATACTTTAGAGGCATATCAAGCAAATAAGAAAATGAGAAATGATGGCAAAGACCACTTTGTCAATGCCCATAAATATTCTGATCTAACAGGATTAGAACATAAAATGGAACTATTACTACTCTAGTGTGATCATTTAGGATTAGTTGTGAAATGCAAAGAACTTTATTCATAATCATTATGTGGTTGCTTATTTTCTATGATGATAACAAAAGCAATACAAAGCAGACAAACAAACAAACACTTACACCCAGAAATATTTCCAGTTAATGTCTCTAACAATTCTCATTAGCATCTTATTTATGCAAAGCAGCTAAATGACATCTAATTAAAACATAAAAGATTAGAAGCACAAATACCTCGATTTTCACGTTGACAAATCGCAACCTCTTACCACATCCAATAATCACAATAGGACGAAAACTTGTAGAATGAGACTCCTTTGCATCATTCTCTTCACTTAAAATGATTGTTTTTCCACAACCATCATATGTATACTCATCAATACCAAGGGTATCCGCAACCAGCTGTCTACTGGGTGACAAGTGCACAACATCTTCATCCTGTTTATAAATACTATCATAAAGCACGATGCTATCGGTCTTATTTATCGGATCATTCTTTGGGTCCAGTGTTTCTTCCCTTCCAGTTATTGCCCCCAGTGTCGGCACAAAAAACTCACCCAAAGCAAGAAGGAAATCTGGCACAACAAGGGTATCCGCAACCAGCTGTCTACTGGTGACAAGTGCACAACATCTTCATCCTGTTTTATAAATACTATCATAAAGCACGATGCTATCGGTCTTATTTATCGGATCATTCTTTGGGTCCAGTGTTTCTTCCCTTCCAGTTATTGCCCCCAGTGTCGGCACAAAAAACTCACCCAAAGCAAGAAGGAAATCTGGCACAACAAGTACTCGAGGCTGCTGAACTCGAAGAACAATTGATTGGGAGGACAATCGTGATCTGTAATCCATCAAGAACATTGTTGAAATTGATACATCATCAAACCAGCTTCAGAATTCACTCTGCTAGTGCTCTCTTGTTCAGAAGTGTGGAAAGGTCCCAATGGAAGCTTGTTTGGAAGTATCAGCAGAAGATCCAAGCATGAGTCGCATTTCAGGCTTCGTATTAGAGCAGATATCCAGAACAGAAAAAGTAGGTATTGTCACATACAAATCTGTTTCTGATAATGAAGTCATTCGGTATGATACCCAAAGGCCTTCTAGCTAGAAAAAAGAAAGATTACTCGTAAGTGAATTAAAATATCCAATTAAGGCTATTGGTTTTTTCCTTGATTACAAACAATACATGCTTAGCCAAGAGCACAACACAAGAAAACAAAATATCTAGCCTCAAAAAGAAACAATAACAATAATTAGTAAATATTAATACTCACAGCTATACGAGCTAAAGGTGATTCCTCATGAATGCCGTTACACAACTCTAACAATGCATAATCAACTTCAACTGCCACAATAGTTACACTACGTGATAGAATCATTTGACTATTCATGTTGACCTTTTCAACCAGTAGCTGCAGTGTATCTTCAGAACCAGATTTGCCGCCACGGAAACTTGGAGGGAGGCTTGGGGCTTCATTCAAATTCATAGTTGTACAATTCAGAACAACATCATATTCTTTATCAGACATTACACCGTGCAAGAAACCCACCTGCAAAGAATAACATCAAAAGGAATTAACAGAAGAATTATACTGTAAAAAGGAATCACTAGCAAGGTACTCCAATCCAATAAACTAGGATTCATCAAACGAGATCAACATACAGTATGAACTTAAGAAATTAATCTAAATAATATAAAGAGTTTAAAATCAAGAAAAAGAGAGCAAGGGAAATACACCCTGATATATGACAAGATATAATGCAAAAACATTTTGGCATAATGTAGCCTCCATTAGTTCAAAGCTGGCTGCCAGATATGGTCATCACAGTTTTCAGTGTGAAAGAGAAATTAACCCGTATGCACACAATATTACCAAGTACATCAATCTAACAAAATGAAGTAGCCACTAAAATACTTTGACAATTGTAGAACACCAAAGAATTCAAGTTCAACGATTACCTTAACTTCCAAAGAAAATGTTGGGACTTTTCTAAAGACATCCCTCAAACTCCGTCTAACATAAACATTGAGTCCTCTACCTTCACGAATCAAAGGTTTACCAATACAACCATCAATTCCTACATACATGTTTACCCCAAGAATCTGCACATTTAACACAAATTTAACCGTAGCTTAATACTCAAACCTGTGACACTGTATAAACATAAGGAATATACCTCAGCATGAAGAAATATCAAGATGAACAGCTGAAGGGTCTTCTTCAGGATATCCATGCCAAGTTATTTCATTTGTGACCTTTAACAAACCCACATCAAGTTGAATGAAGCTGCAAGCAGAAAATATATCACTAATATTCACACTATTAAGAAATAAAAAAGCTTGGAAAGTTCATTTTCTAAATAAAAATAGTCTTCTATTCAAGTGTTAGCTTAGAAGTCCTATATGTACATTCTTAGGCATAAAACTAAATTAAGGCTACATAGGATGGAAGCAAGGCAGTCGGTTTTCAGAATATTCAGGCTCGGTGTGTTGCTTATCATTTTACTTATCCCAAATAAAAAGTTTCTGAAGAATAAGTAGAGAGAAAAGGAACACATGAAAGGTCTGATGACATTAAAACTTAGACTAAAAAAGAAATAGAAACAAAAAAACTTTCAAAGAGATTTCCTTTTTTCTATTCTTTTTCTTTTCTTTTTTTTTTTTTTTGTGTGCCGGGGGGACTGCATAGGAATGCAAACCAAGAAATGTGCTGATTATGCTACAGTGCCACCTGAAAGTTACAGTTCAAGAAAAACATCCATTATATTGACAGGTAAATAGTTAATTATATATCCCATGTAAATTTATGCCCATATGAATTGCCATAAAGTAAACAGATCAGAGGAAAGCAGTTCTCAAACTTCCAATTTTTTTACCATACAGAGTTGAAAAGTTTAAAGGCAAACTTTTAGAGAAATTGGTCAACCGAATGAGTACTAAATAACAAGAGCTAATGGAAAACTGACTCTTTGCTCATTGAATTCCTTGGAACTATAATTATAGGATTGTCAAGTGTGAGATCCAGCTTCAAAGCAGCAGTCCCATCAATTTCTGATTTTTGAATTAACCACTCAAAATCACCAACTTTATCAACTAATTTTATTGCTTCTTCAGTATGTGGGGTGGCAAGCTCCATGAAATAAACTGTTATCTGCGTAATCAAGTTTCCAGTTATTTATATGCAAAGGATATCGAACATTAGGAATATGTTATGAAAAAGTGAACATCTAGGCTTAGTGCAATTCAAAAATATTAAATTGCTATTTGTGAATAAGCAAACTTCAAATGTTAAAATGTTAAACATAATAAATTATGCAAATGCTAAAACTGTATACAATTCAAACTGTATCCCAGCATACCTCCTGAACAAACCTATATAGGAAAACAATTCGAACAGCAGAAAGTCGCCCAAACAAGCTGTAATCATACCCTTCATAATCATCGTCTCCAGCACCAAAAGAAATAAATTTGAACTGGAAAAAGGAAAAGTGTGAAATAAAACATGTATGCAATTGGAAGTTATAAAACATATATTAGCGTACACAACAACACACCTTTATAAAGGATTCAATCCCTGGATTACGTATATCACACAAACAACCTAAGAAGTTATCCGCTCCAAGTGACATATCACGAAGTCTCAAATTTCCCAATGTGCCTTCAATAGAAAGGGATGTTGGATAGACCTGAACAGGGAAAGTTTTAAAAACTTGACAGAAAATAGAAAATTGTGCAAACAAAACTTAAGTCACCCGTCAAGCTACAGATGTAGTTTGAAGGTTATGAAGGGGGTTTTTAACGAGGCCTCCCATATTTTTATAAATGTAACAAAATCAAAATAAATATGAGAATCAAATTTCTATTGCAACAGAGAAACCAGAAGAGACAAAGCATTATTGGGATATTAACAAGATGCTTCACTTCACCTTAAGATCTAACAGGAAACTTTCTTGCACAAACATTGCCAGCTGAGATCCATCCTCCTTGTTAAGAAACACAGTGACACTATCAACATTTATGTTCAAATAGAATATAACACGAGTTTTACCATGGCCTAGTAACCCATCAACACGACCACTTTCTTCAGCCTTTTCTTTATTCATCAAAGATTCATCATCCAAAGCTTCATTTACATCTGTATCACTTGCTGCAGAACTCATAGCCTAATCTAAGCCAAAACCAATCAAGCACCAGAGTGGTCTGTTGCAAAAAAACTCCATCTTGGACAGGCGAATACTCATCTGATGATTTCAACTGAACCAATTAGTTGTGTAATTCACTCAAGTGAAGGATATTCAACTAAATATCAATGATGCAAATTTTAAATACCTGTGTGTCTATGCCTTCATAAAATGGTGAACCAGAACCCCTTTTTGAGAAAGTAACAGTTACAAAATCCAATTCTTCATCACTTTGAGCTTCATAAAATATCTCTCCAGAAAGTCCCTTTCCTTGAAACAAATTGTTTTCATCAAATTCAGGGAGAGCATCCTTGAAAATATCATCATCATCTGGGTGCAACCCAGACATCTGATTTCCAAGCGAACCGCAAGTTTGATGGAATTGAAGTAAATTGTCATTTTTCAGCACAGAGTATGCTATGTACTGTGTATCGCCCGACAGACAACCTTGAAACTCATCCTTTATTTTCAAAGAATGCAGCTTTGTCCTCAACATTAGGTCACTCCCCAAACTAATCATTGTCACCTGTTAAAAGATATTGATGAATAGGTAATAGCAACAAGTATACCAAAAGAAAATTCAAAGGAACCAAATATGGCTACCTATAACTGAAAAAAGAAATAAAAGAACTTCAATGCTCTAATTAGAGAAAACAATATAAAGTAGCAAAAAATTGCAATAAGAGAGAAAATGATATACAGTAGTAAAATCATATAGAAAGCACCGGCACAATATCTTCTATTTGTTTGAGAACAAAGAAATATAATTTTTACATCATAAAAGAAACACACAAGTATATTTATTTGAGAATGTTGAAAGAAACAACCAGCCACCTGATGCCCAGACCAGGTCTATTTTTGGAGCAAACAGAAAGCTTACTCCCTACATGGAGATTACTTGTGTTTCATATACTGAAAACAGCTAGTTTTATTGCCTAGTGCTTTCTGACAAAAATAGATTTTTATACAAGTAATCATATGAAATATCTCCTAATCCCATGTGGAATTTGACAATGCATATAAGCACCTCATTTATGAAAATATTCAAAATCACATTTGTTATTGCTTCTTCGCATTCAATCATCAAGGGGAAGACTAACACTGTTAGTGTGACCGAACCAGCAAGTCCAATTTGATAAATACCACAAGAAAGGAGATGTCATTCAACTCTCGGATGATTGGATGGGACAGAATTTACAATAACATGCTTAATACACAAGATAAATATCCCTAAAAGAGAACCAGAAGAGCATATTCTGAATTCGAAATTGGTAACGAGAAAGTGATAGATCCCCTTTTCAAAGCCTTTGGAATAAGCTTCCAGTATGATGGCAAGCTATAAATCACCATTCACCAATGAGGCCTACAAAATATCTACATCAGAGCTTAAAGTGAATAAACTGGTCCCACCGCAATTCTTCCATGGTTCAATAAGAGTAGCAATACGACTGAGATTCTAAGAGCAATAGGGTTCACATGTCATCTGCACCTCCTATGCCAGTAAGAGTTAAAAGCACGATAGCAGGATGTTTACTGCTACTTTTCCAGCTTTACATCAGCAAAAAGAGAGGTATCCTCCAGATTATTATAAATAATTTGCAGCATATTTTACTCCATGAAGTTCTATCCTTATCATACCAGACGGTAATATTAGGTATAGGATGGGTTCTTCAATCATCAGTACGTTCAAAGATGTAGCACCCTATATGACAATAGAACAAACCTAACTTTCTCAGATATTTTGATGCTAAACATTCATGCCATAATGAACCTCACCAATTTATCGCATTAGCAATTCCAAATTGGTTTACATTATACCACCACAAGATAATGCCAAATAGTAACAGAAAGTCGCAAACCTTTCCACCACTAGCAAGAACCTCAAGAATCAGTTGCTCTTCTTGTTTCTCCGCAACATCCTCGCTTGTCTACAAAACGGTGTAAAATTTGATTTCTCAATAAGTGAACATTGTACCAGAAACTAAAACAAAAATATTCATTAAATGCCTAAAGTTCTAGCACAAATCCATCATGTTGTTTAGAATCATATAACTACTAACCTTTCCATAAAGGCAAAATTTGGTCTCCAAAACAGCCCCATTAATAACAAGGTCGGCAGCTTTCGAATCACTTGTTTGAGGATCATCAGATTCACTGATACCAGCACTTGTTTCTCCAAGTATATCAACAGATGGAGGAGCCTACATGAATACAAAGTAATAAAAACCTAGAAAAATAAATAAATACAAGGAATGAGAAAGAAATTTTATATCATCATCATACAGAAGCTTGATATGTGGCTTGTATAAGTCCCCTCAACCAAGTTGTCTTCTCATCCTCCCCTCGAAACTCCATAACCCAGGTACCTGAAGACTCTAAAGCCTGGAGAAGACATTCATGTCAGAAATAAGGAAAGAACAATTATTCAAGACCATGAAAAAGCAAAAGAACATAAAGCACAGGTATAACAGTGTGGTAGATATAAAATCAAGCAAGGTAATGATTTTGTTTTACCTACTCAAAATTAAGAAAATGCAAGTTAGGCTTTTCCATATAGATAACTAAACACCAATTCAAATTGGCTTGTAAAAGCATTACAGCTAATAAGCTCATCATGGATGATGAGTAAATAATTTAATCTTATAATCCAACATTCAATATAAGAATCCACATTAATAATGAGAGAAACAAGCTGCCACACACGGTCTCCTTTTATGAAGCACACAATAAACGCATAGTAATCTTATGACATATGCTAGTTCTTCCTCTGGTTTTGATTGTTTATTTTTCTTCAAGATCTATTTTTTGTAAATACTGCTTATAAATTAATCTTAACCACCCAAATACGTTATAGTTATTGAGAAAACAATTTCGTGATAGCCAAAAAGAAAAGCAAATGGACCACAAATCCTTAATGCCGTATGAAGACAACATACAATGAACCTTTTTAAGAAATATTGGTAGAATTAAACTCTATCCTCCTTTACTTGTTTATAACATTTCCAATCTAATTTGATCACTCATTCTGAACTAGTTCTTGATACAAAATTCGTTAATCATTGCCGATTCTAGCTATCAGGTTAAATACTTAAGGTTTAAGAAAAAATATAAGGTAGTAAGAACCATTATATTAAAACTTTTGAACTTCATTGAAACTGATAAATGGAAGGGAGATAACTTGCAATTTGAAAAATATTTTCAAAGCAAACACAATTCACAACCCAACCTTGGTTTTAAAAGGAACAAGGCGCACCTAGGCGCAAAAGGTCCTTGAAGCCTAGGCACAGGCGCGCCTTTTGTAGGTGAGGCGCACTTTTTTTTTTTTTGATAGAAGTTGGAGGTCTCATTAAAAACTCCCTTCGTATTCGTTCACATACTAAAAGTATGTTAACGAACATTGGAAGGAAGAAAAGAGTACCTCAGATTTTATTAATATAATACCCGATACAAAAGACACCACGGAATATCTTCTCATGGTGATGTACACTATTACAACAAAAACCTTAACCTCATAAAACCTCATCCAAAGCCACAGTCAAATCACCTTACTACTAATTACACCACCAACAGTAGTAATAAAACAACGCGACAGAACATAATACAAAATGAAAGCAACACCTACAACCATATAGACTAAAATAAAACCACAAATGAAGAGACGAGATCTAATGAGACTTGTATTCTTCAGGAGCCCAAGAGTTTGGTTTGAATGAAGGTTCTATCTCATGCACCATGACCTTGAAGAAATTGTCACCAACCTTCAATTCAACCATCGAATCAATTCTCGCATCAGCCTTTGTTAGGACTTGAATTTTAGCCCGATCAAAGGATGATGGAGATTGACAACTTTCGTCGATAGCCAATAAAAGACCCCACTTATCAGCAATGTTCTTGAAAGTATTCCAATTCCATGCGTGAAAAGGAACACCCTCGCAAACTAGCCATACTCGACGACACTCCATTACCAAACTCTCTGACCAAGCTTCGACTATGGAGAACCACTCTGCGAGAATCTTTGATTTGTCGTTCTTTACACTTCTCAATGAAGCATTGTCTTCGAAAATCATTAAAATCGCATTACCAGCAGCTCTCATTAATGTGAAGCCAGTGAGACCCTTCGATTGCATTGTCTAGCGAGATGACCAATTTAACAAAGTTCTTGCACCACCCCACTAGACAATTGCTCAACACCTAGAGTTTTTCTTCATCTATAACACCTTCAACTTTATAATGATTCTTACTCGAAACATCTTCCATCCCAGACTTGCGAAGAATACTTCGATGACTTTCTCCAATATGAATGACGAGGTTTGAATTTAGCGAAAGAAACACTAATTTGCTGCCGTCGATACGAGAGCCATTCATTTTAGAGATCGTTCTCCTTGCTTCTTCGAATGATGCGAAGCGAATAAAACCAAACGAACTCCTTTGAATTCCTTTTATTTGAATAAAGCATCAAGTACCCGCCCATGAGAGCAAAATAAAGATCCAAACCTCTTCCAATGGATCTTCTCTAAATTATCAATAAATACGTGAAGCATCCAGACTTGTCATTGATGCATCCTTTGGTGACTCCCCGGATCCATCTTGGACAGCACTGCGGTAGACTTTTCAACATAACACCCAGATTTATCATGCACATGAATACTTGGAGACTCCAGGAGCTGGATTTGGCACAGGCAAACCGAAGGAACAGGATGACAACTATGATGTCCACTGCAACAGAATCAATACCCATTCCTTTTTTAACAACCAGATTTTTCTTTGCCATCTCAATGTGCAAAAGAGACTTCACTTGGCATCAAAACCATCTCCTGAAGGGTATCTTTGGCAGCAACAGCAAATTTTGCAGTAGAGAATAGAGCAAAACCCTTGGGCTCTTTTCCCTTGAAGCTCACTTGCGAGGCTTCAAACCTGGAAGCCATCTCAACAAGTTTTGCAGCTCTCTCTTTGAATCTGTAGGCAGACCCGAAATGAAGATGGTACGAACCTTGTCATGATGAGAATGATGATTAGGCGAAGAAGGCGAGGCTGCAGGGAGGAGCTATGACCAGAGGTCTCTTCTGGTTACACGGGAGGATTCCTTCACCCGACATTAGAGGAAATCTCATGACTTAACGTAAAATCCCTGTCGCGCGCCCGCGATGGAGAATGTTTGACTGGCCGGCGAAGAAGAGAAGGATGGTAGGGATAAGAGAGTTGGACAGGAAGGTCCTGAGCCTTCGAAAAGGAGGAACAACGTAAACTTCCTTCTACCAAACCCTCAGACTTAAACGGGATCGTGAAAATCAGATACTGCCTTCAACACTCTCAGACGTGGATGATCGAGGAATCGCTTAGCAAAACCTTGGCTTGTTCTGATAATCGAACCGGTCAAAGGCAGACTCACGGGGAATGGCAGCAAGACTGAACACTAGGACAGAAAGGAAAAGATCGCAAGTGAAAGACCCCGAAGGTCATACAACTGACGACGGCCGACGGCAAAAACGGTAAATAACGTCGTCTGATCTATGCCGAAAGAAAGACTTTCTCGAAAATCCAAACTCAAAAAGAAAACAGAGTGAGGAGACATCTTCCTGATGAAAAATGGCGGCGAACGGATGACGGAAAGTGGCGGCGGACGGCGGATGTCGGACGGCAGACGGCGGACGTCGGACGGCAGACGCGGATGTCGGACGGCAGACGGCGGACGGCGGATGTCGGACGGCAGACGGGCCGGCTTGGAATCTTCTCTCAAAGATGCATTCCCTAAACTTTTTGTCCTTTCCACAAATCAGAATGGTAAGTTAGTAGAACTAGGCGAAATTCGTAAGCGATTAGGAATTGGATCAGTGGATAGAATTGTTGACAATCATTAATAGAACTACTCTTTCGGAAAGTTCGAGGGATGGTTTGATTTGGAAAGGTAATGGGAAGGGTATTTATACTGTCAGCTCTTGTGTGAAGCATTGTTCTTTTAGCTCGGAAGCTGATCCCTTTTGGAAGAGTATCCTTTGGAGGGGGCTGGTGCCTCCTAGGGTGGAGACTTTTTTGTGGCAGATTGTTCATCAGAAATTGGTTGTAAAGGCAGAATTATCGAAGAGGGGGTTCAAGGAATAGTGGACATTTCTTGTCCATTATGTAAGCAAGAGTTGGAATCTTCAGCTCACATTTTCTTCTCCTGTTTAGTTTCGTGGAATCTTTGGAATCGGTTTCTCAATCTGTGGAATGTTTCTTCTGTTTTTCACGAAAATGCTAAAATGTTTCTTTTAGCTTAGGAAAATTTGGTTTCTCATTCCACAATTTGGTCCTTCATTCCAGGTGCTATTCTTTGGACAATTTGGAAATTTAGAAATGCTATTGTTTTTTATAGAGGGATGTTAGATCAAAATGAATTATTTTTCACTGCTAGGTTCAGGCTAGCTTTTTGGTTCCTAGCAAAGAATAATGATGTTTCTATTTCCAAAGACCTTCTCATTAGTGATCCTTCTCTAGGGGATGTCTACTCGAATTCTAAAAATATATTAGCTGAACAAATTCCTTGGTCCCCTCCTCCCAAAGGTTTTCTTAAGCTGAATGTGGATGCAGCCGTCAGTAGTGATTGGAAGACTAGTGGACTGGGTGGGATTTTGAGAGATGAAAGTTGGTTTGGTGCTTGGCTCTTTCAAAGAGGCAGCTGGTCCGGGTCCTCCTTCCTTAATGGAGCTAAAGGCAATTAAGCAGGGTTTAATTTTCTATAATTCCTTTCGATGGTGCTATAAGAAACGGTTAATTATTGAAAGTGATAGCAAGATGTCTGTGGAGTGGGTTAAGAATATAGATAAATGTCCACTTCTGTTTGTTACTATTGTTAAGGATATTGTTGATAGGTTAAGAGTTCAGGAGAGTCTTATTTGTTGGGTAGCTAGGACGACTAATATAAAGGCTGATGGTTTAGCTAAATTTGGTATTGGCTAAGTTAGGGAGTTATAATTTGGGTGGTTCTTTCTCTTTGTTTTTCGAGATTTCAGTTGTAAGGGAGATTATTCTTGGAAGTAGTCTACTCTTTGTAATACTTTTTAATCAATAATATTTGAGGCACTCTTTTTCTCCTTCCGCTGATTAAGGAATTCCACTAGGCGTTCCGTTAATCATGAAGGGGGTTTTTAACGAGGCCTCCTCTTCTTATAAAAAAAATATTATAAACATATCTATGCTAAAAAGTTTTTAATATTTAAAACTATTATTTTATTTATTTTTATAAACATATTTTAATCCCCTTTCACCAAAATCTACACTGTCATTGATTTATACTTAATGTTTTTAATATTTAAAACTATTATTTCATTTATTTTTAAATGATACAAATTTAATTTATTATCAATTTAAAATTTGTAATTATTATAAAAAATTAATTTTATATTTAATAAAATGTATTAAATAATTAATATTTAATTTAAGTTATTTTAAAAATTAAAATTAATTATTTATTATTAAATAACTAAATTTCTAAAAAAAGTATATACTTTGGGTTAAAAGCAGACAAAGGGTGGAAGAAGTTATAATGGTTTGTTATAAATAAATAAACATTAGAGTTGGACCATAAATTTGGGCTATAGGGTTGGGCTTGTTAATATGTCAAATATTATGGTTAAGAAATGAGAAAATGTGATAAAAGAATGAGTTTTCTAGTCTTCTTCAGCCGTCTTCTTCCTTTCTTACTACTGCAATTCTTTTTTTATCTTCTTTAATCTGTTCTACTTCCTATTAATATCTTTAAAAAAATCCGAAAGGCGCTGCTACGCCCGGCGCCTAAAGCCTAGAGGCGGGCGCCATCTTCAGTGCATGACTGCGCCTCGCACTTTTAAAACCAAGAACCCAACATGAATGTGTTAATTAAAAATCTTCAAGAATTAGAAAGGAGAAAATAAACCGCACACACAGAGTACTTTCAGACAACCAGCTATAACAGAGAGGTAGGGATTATTCTGGTTAGGTTTAATGAATATCTTGCAAAAAAACATTACTTGTCGTTAGCTACAAGGTTAAATCTCCCACCTTCTTAGTGCCATTCCTCTTGGACCCATAGCAATACAAAATGGGGAGCCACCAATATTTTCAGATGGAACCTCATGCACTTGTCTTCCAGCCATGCTGCAGGATTCCAAAAGTAACATTTAGATTAGAGTTCCTAAAAATAGCATTGGGGATATCAAAGAAAAAAAGGATATCAGTGTAAATTCAAGAAAATTGAGGCTGCAAAACTACCATCCTACAGATTAACACCAATTAACCAAGTCAAAGAGAAAAGGAAAGCCCCACACCTCAAGTACCGTTGATAGTTCTGAGATTTTTCAGATTCCAATACATAAAGATAGAATCCAGATAATACAACAAAACAGGGTTGCCATGAAGCAACAGAGTTTCCAATACCCTGAACCAACAAAGTTAATTATGGTTAAAATCAGGTGCATACAGTCAAGTACCAGTATAGATCTAGCTTTTACAATGGAGTCAAAAGCAAACCCGCCAAACTAGGATTTTAGCATCAGTAGCAAGATCTGCAACACTCCAAGGAGTCAGCCCAGCTTGCAAATCAACACCAGCAGACTGAACACAGGGGTCCATAGCAACATATAATAAGTCCAACAGTTCTATAAGTTTGCAGTATCTTGCTGGTGAGAAGTGAATGCCAAGATTTGGTACTTGGACAGAAACAAGCGTTGACGGGTAACCTAGGCGAGGAACTTTAATCTGCAATACCAATACACAAGTAGAAATGATGAGAGTTCAAGAATTTCAAAATGAAAACCCTCTAGTGATATTGTTACTTGTTGCATAAGAACTAAAAATAAATAAATCATACCTGATCAACAACTACCTCCATTCCACATTTATCAACAAGAGAATAGAAATTGCCAGCCTTCTCCAATCCAGGAGACATCAAGATTGATTGATTACTAGAACTTGGTTCACCAGAAGTGTAGTTCTGGCAATCAGAATCAGAATCTGTAAAAAAAGCAGAAATATCCCTTCCAGATATGTACACACGAGAATAGATATTCTGCCTCTGTTCATCAGACTGACTCTCCTGCCATAATGATTAATTGTTTAAGCAAATAAATTTTAATTAATGGCAATTTGAGAGGTCAATAGTTAATACACATACCATGGTATGCAATGTAAAATGACCAAAATCCAAAAGAAAATAGCTCTGACATTTGGAAGACGCGTGTGTCCTCAGAGGAATCCTAACTTTAGGAGCATCAAGATCAATATCCAGAGAAAATCTGAGAAACGAAGCAAAAAAGTAAATAACCATTAAAAAATAACCATGTTTTTCTCTTTGCTGAAACTAGGAAATAGAAGCAAAAATAAAATACAGCATAGAAATAGTTACTCAAAGCTATTTCCCAAGTTAACAATTTGAATTCTACAATATTGATTTTTTTCTGCACCACGTAACCCTCGCTTAACATCATGAAAACAAGACATAACAAACTAAAAATGTCCGAGTTGTGTCTGAAACATAACCTCAATTATTTACCCATCATGACAATAAATAATAAAAAAAACTAAGAATCATCCTACATCTGAAGGTTTCCAAGGAAAAGATATCAAAAGACATGGAGATACTCCTTATTCTTCACTTGACCCAAAAAACACAAGCCTCAAACCTAAATGAACCGGACCAAAAACAACCAAAATCCAAAAGCGAACTGAATCACTATGACAGAAAATCCCAATTGACCTGATTGACAAGTCTAATCAAGATTATATACCGGCATAGCAATCCCCAACAGCAACATGATCTGTACCGACATGAATTACATAAAAATGCAAACCCTTTAAAACAATGGTTTCATAGACAAGCCTTTTCACCAGAATGCATCACCTTGCCTAATGCCCATTGGAAATCTTCCAATTGGTATATTGAATGAGATATAAAGCATAAAACATAATATCAAGTAAAAAAGAAACTAATAAAATGATCAAACAACTGATAAATGATGGGCACAATAGATAGTAGAAACAATCATTTAACCTGCTTTGTTCCTCTAACACTGTTTGAAACTGCTCCTGTGCTTTTTGCGTCACTTTTTCTATCCTTGTCTACCAATGGTTTAAAATAATTAGCAGCACAAAGTGGAAATAGTTTCTAAGATCATTATTCTACAAAGTGACTAACTGAGTTTGGTGAGTGACACCAACTCAGTGAATTGACACAAAATTCAAATTATATCATACTAAATATATATAATAAAATATATAATATTAATCTTAAACATTTTTTTATTAATTTGTTTTGAAATTACAACCCCTTACTTTTATAGTTAATATAAATTTAATATGAAAGAGTGGACCAATGTTTGGGCTTCAATGCTTGCATAAAAATTCCTTTCCTTAACCTAGTTTTTATCATTTATTTAACTTTTTTCACCCATGCAGTGGGTGTGTCAGATAGTACTAATGCCATTACCTGCAATGCACTGGCAGTTTCCAAAGCAACAGTTGGACTAACTGCCTTACTTCTCTTCACAAACTCAAAAAAGCGATCACAACTTTCCTTCAAAACCTGCAAAAAACCATAAGAAGTTATCAAGTTTCATCTGCTAAGAGATGACACAACGAACTACAAGATGGCAGAGAAAGTAAATAAAGGACCACTTGCCAAATGCACTCACAACTAAAGTGCTAATAATGGACTATCTCAAAAGAAAAGATACTACAGTATATAATAAAACATCAGGCCAATGGGGTGCAAAAAAGTTGACAATAAATTTTGCCACCCCAGGCTTGTACCTTAGATCAGGAACCAGGTGCTTTCAACCAGAATTAGAATGATATTGGCATGCTAGGAAACTTAGGGCCTCCAGGGAAGGCCTCAAAAGGGGATACCCAGTTTGCTCCATTACCTCCAACGAGATTTGAACATAAACTATTTCACACCTCAACCAAGTTTTCATTAATTTGTCTTTCCTTGAACCAAGATGAGAAATTTTATAGATCTATGGGATTATTACTACCTCATACTAGTTGTTTCCCCCCTCAATGAAAAATCTTGGAGCCAATTTTGGGCATCATTAAAAGGGCATTATTATGGTTACTGATCAGCAAGATACAATCAAAGGTGCAAGACAGAAAAAACAAGTCAGGATGAATCCCCATTTGTAAATTGATGCAGACCCAGTCATCCCTTATCCTTCTAGGATCAATGAAATTACCATAACATAGCAGGGGGAAATTGTAGCTGACAACCTCCAATCAACATTCTCTCCAACCGGTGAGTGGACAAAACTAGCAGTTAATGCATTCACCTTTTGCTCACTGCAGACACTCTGCAGAAAAAATCCGACATAAGGCAATACACATATTATATGTATGTATGTATGTATGTATGTATGGACCATGCAATCTGGCAATAACATACAGTTTGAATCTATTAAAGATATCTTAAAAATTAAAAAAGAAGGTTGATATACGTATAAACTCCATGGTATTCATTTTAGTTCGAAGCCTTTAGTTATCATCAACAAAGGACATTTCAGAAAGAAACAGCTCAAACATGCTACTCAAACAAACCTGAGCAAGGGAACCTTCAGGGGCCGACACACCATAGAATCTTAACCTTACATCACAATGGGTATTGCGGTGTTTAAACTTAGCAGACACATGAAGTTGTTCAAATCTACCGCAAAGTATCTCTGTCTGGTTTTTATCGATAATCGTCGCAGCAGCTTGACTTATAGACACAGTTACCATAAAGCGGATCATGCTTTGCAATTCCTTCCCTGAATGTGACATCAAATCCTCATCAGGCTGGTAACTGAGTAACTTATTGATCGCCTGCCACTCTTCTTTACTCAACGCTTCCTCTGTTAACTGTGATTCACCCAAAACATCCCCATCAGACACATCTTCAGATTGTGTACGCCTGAGATTAAAGGTGAATAGAATTAGCAAAAGTTAAAATTTGGGGGGAAAGCTGAAAACAAGATCATAAAAAAAACTAACGTATAACCTTCTCATATTTATTTCAACATACCAAATCGATGAAAACCAACTTTTCTTCTGAAGCCTTCTCTGTTCAGCTGCTTCCTTAGACTTTACAGATTCAACCTTCGCATGTGCAAGTAACCTAATTGGTCCAAGTAGAAATAAAAAATGTTGTAACATTTGACCAGTGAAGAAAAAAATTGTTTAACTATGAATTGTACATTAATATCCTTGACCACTTTTAATAACAGATTTGCATATATACCTGGTTTGAATAAAAATTTATCATACAAATGGAACATATGGTAATTCAACAATTCCAATCCTCCAAGTATTGAACATAAAGAAAAATTATGGCCAATTGAAAACACTCATAATTGTGCATCGCTCTCCCTTTGGTAAACCATGGCAGGTTCTGTAGCTTGACTGGCCATACCTGTCCCTGGTCTAAAATCATTTTTTAACAACTTTCCTGGTGTATCCGGAGGCATCCAACACATGTCCACCCATTTCAAATGTATTCCTATTATAGTAGGACATGTATTGAAACATGATGGGTGTCGTTATGTCAACTTTCACTGCAGAAGTTAACATGAGTGAGAAAAGTAGAGAGAGAAAAAGAGCGAGTTTGTTTGGTAGTTCGTCCTCTGGTGAGGAATGGACTGTCTTTGTTGACAATCTTAGTACGAGAGTTACTAGATTTGAGTTAAGAGAGATTTTTAACCATTATGGAAAAATAGTGAGGGTTTATATTCCAAGTTTTTTATGTCTAAACCAAATTATAAGTCATCCACGTTTGCCTTTGTGCAATTTGCGAAGGAGGTAGGTTGCAGAAAAGCAGTTCATAATGTAAACGGTACGCTGATTGATGGGAAGAGAGTCTTAGTGGGGATTGCAAAGTACAAGAGGGGCAGAAAAAGAGAAGCATAGGTAAAAAGAAATCAGTTGCATGGTTTTAAGCTGGGTAGAGAGGTTAATGGTGAATTGCAGGCTGAGTTGGAGAAACCGAGAAGTTTGAGAGATGAAAGATCGTATAAGGAGGTTGTGAATGTGGTCAACAGTAGGAGCGTGGATCCAGAGAAACCGAGAAGTTGAGAGATGAAAGATCGATAAGGAGTTGTGAATGTGGTCAACAGTAGGAGCGTGGATCCAGGTCATATGGTGAATAAGGGAGGTCAGAAGAATGCAAATGGAATAAGAAATGTTGGGATATGCATATCCCATCAGATGATTTTTGCTGGGTGAAAAACTCCTTAACAGGGGTTATCAAAGATCCCTTTCAGCCTGATATGGTGAAGAGAGCTTTGGCAAAGGAGGGATTCCAGGTTAAGATAATAGGTGGGGATATCAGGAACGCCGCATTATTATGTTCAACACAAATGAAGAGTTTTTAGAGGCATGGTCGAGTCTCCGAGAGAAACTATACTGTTGGTTTGATTGGGTAGATCCGTTGTTGAGTGAAGATGGAGTTCCTTTGGCTTATTGCTTGGTCGAGTTGGTTGGTTTACCGCTTCTTAGTTGGAGTGTTCCTTTTTTGGAGAAGCTTGGTGAAAAATGGGGAAAGGTTGTGAGTATCCTGGAGGAAACAAGAAATAGAGATGATCTTTCTTCGGCTAGAATGCTGTTAAGGGTTGCAAGCCTTTTTGATGTACAAGAATCGGTTATTGTGGGTTCTTATGGCAGATCCTTTAAAGTTAAAATTAATGTGGGTACCAGGTGTAATCCTATCTCTGAAGATTTTGGAGTCGTGAGGCAGAATTTTTCACATAACAGTTGCAATAACGATGTGTCAAAGGGGGACGATGGTAGAAACTTAGAGAAGGAAGAAGACAACAGGGAAAATTTAGAAGAAGGATTTCGGTCAAAGGTAGACATGTGGCTTCAGACCAGTCTAGAAAGGAGGATGTCAGAAGATGGGGAACATTATTTGAAAAAGAAGTCTGTCACTCTGCCCAATGATAATGGGTGTCAGACAAATTTGAATTTGATTTTAACTATTGTGGGACTATGCAGGAATTGGGCTGCGAGAGGCTGTGGACCAGAGTATCCAAGCCCCCATTCTGATTCAAATGGGGAGTATCTTTCTCCTATAACAAAAATTTTCCCACGGGCCCTGCTGTGAAGTTGAATTGGGCCAGGGCAGTAAATAAAAAAAATGATCAGCCTTTGTCTGATTTTCAAGAGCAAGATACAGATGTAGTGAGGGATGAAGCTATAGATAACAATAAAACTGTTCAAAGAAGTTGAGATGGTTAAGGATGTCAATCAAGTGATTCTCAATGCGGGTAGTGATTCTTCTTTTTGTGAAAGAAGAGAAATTCAGTGAATTTCGAGGAATGTGAAGAAATTGAGCCTTTAAATCCTAATTTAATGCAGTCAGCTCCTAATCAGGAATCCTCACAGTTTTCTTCAAGAGGCAGAACGTTGATTCAGCATAGAAGATTTCTTTCTTCTAAAAGTGTGCCAATAGAGAGGAGGAGAATGGCCAGCTATAGAAGATTTTATAGTAGATCGAGGTGAGAAATCACTGGTTTGGAAATGAACAGAAGAACTCTTGTCTAGAAAAGACTTTCAGCAGTTTTCTTCAGATAAAATGGGAAGTGGGTTGGAAAAGGCTATTAATTCTACTAATAATCAGAATTCTTCTGTGGTACCATTTATTAGGAATAGCTCCTCAGAGGTTGTGGAAGCAGGTATTATTCCTGCTACAGGGACAGAAAGAACTAAAAGAAGGGCGAAAAGAGTTTTAACTAGGGAAGCAGTGGATCTGGTTAATTCACCTATTGTCTTTTCACCTCAATTCTCGAAGGTGGTGGAGGAAGCAATGCTTACTTGGGAAGTTTGTCAGGTGTTAGGCCTTTCGTTCAAGGAAGTAAGAAGACTTTCATAGAAACATTTTAAGCCTGGAAGATGGGTCTGACTCAGCAAGGGATGGATGATTTGCAGAGTCTCACTTTTTTGTTGTTTGGAGAGTTGGTTTTTGGTTGTGGGAGTGTTGTTTTTTGATGAATAGATTAAACATTTTATCTTGGAACATTAGAGGGTTAGGGAGGAGAGAAATATATTGCTGTTGCAAGGCTAGTAAAGAAGGTTAGACCAGTTCTGCTTTTTATCCAAGAATCAAAGTTAGAAAAATGTCATGTATCGATTACTAGGAAGATTGGAGGAAATTTCCTAAAGGAGGTGATGGTGTCTCCAGCACAGGGGTCAAAGGGTGGTTTGATTTCTATGTGGAATGAAAATGTGTTCAAAGTTACAAATAAGCATGTGCACAATAGGTTCTTGGCACTGGTGGGAAATTATATGATGACCAAGAGGAATTCGCTTTTATTAATGTCTATGGTCCTGTTATTGAATCTGAAAAAGATGAATTTTATGGGGATTGTTAGATTTTGTTCGTTTGTTGATCTACCGTTTGTATAGGGGGTGATTTTAATGCGTATCTTGATCCGCAAGAAAAAAATGGAAATCACAGAATTGGCATAATTGATATTTTCAGATCTTTTGTGCAACAGGCAATCTTATTGATTTGCCGATGTCAGGAGGGACTTTCACATGGTAGCAATAGAGAAGATTCTACATGGGTTAGACTAGACCGCTTCCTAATTAGTGGTAGTTTCCTAACAATTTTCCTAAGATCTCACAGTCCCTTCTATCAAATTCTATTCTGATCACAATCCAGTTTTGTTGGAAGATGTTAGTATCATTGGGGCCCTAAACCTTTTAGATTTTTAATTACCTTTTAGAGGAAAAAGGTTTTGATGGATGGGTAGAAGACTTGGTGTTTGTTGAGAAGAAGAAGAGGAATAATGGGGGGGATTTTTAGGATGCTACAGGCTGCTAAAAAACAGATTAAAAGATGGCCTGGAGGTAATCAATTTGGGTTGTCAGATTCAATTTCGATGCTTGAAGGGAAGATAAATGAATTGGAAAGAAGTCAATGTCGAATCTTATCTAAGGGTGAATGGGATCAGTGGGTTGACTGCAAAAATGCTGTGGAGGTTGTTTAGGATCAAGGAGAGCATTTGGTATCAAAAGTCCAGAAGTAGGTGGATTAAGGGTGGAGACAAAAATACTAGGTTCTTTCATCTAAGTGCTATGAGAAATAGAGTAACTCCATTCATTCATTGAATTGATGGAGTTTTATTTTCGGATGCGGGAAAATAAAAGAAAGTGTATAATTTTTTCAAGTCTGCATACAACTCCAATTCGGCCTTGGAGGCAGAGGACTTGAATTTGGATTTTGCACAGTTAACAACATCTCAATGCGCATATTTGGAGGAATTTTCGGAACAAGAAATATGGCAAGCAATTTCTTCTTCGGATAGTACTAAAGCTCCTGGACCGGATGGTTTTACCATGGGTTTTTACAAGAAATACTGGAAAATTCTTAAGAATCAGATCATGGAGTTTTTCTCAGATTTCTATAAAGGAAAGAAGTGGGTTCATGGAGTTAATCATGCATTTACCTTGATTCCTAAGAAAGGTAATCCTGAGTGTATTGAAGACTATAGACCTATTAGTCTTGTGGGCAGCCTGTACAAAATTCTGTCAAAAGTTCTTTCCAAGAGACTAATATCGTGTATCGATGATATTATTAGTCTGTCACAGTTTGCTTTTATTCCTGGAAGGCAATTGTTAGATTGTGCATGTTTGGCTAACGAAGGTATTGATTCTTGGAGGAAGCAAGGACTTAAAGGGGTTGTATTTAAAGTGGATTTTAGCAGAGCCTACGACACTGTGGAGTGGCAGATTCTGCAAAAGTTAATGATAAAGATGGGATTCGGCGAGAGGTGGTGTTCTTGGATCAAACAGTGCATTTCAACGTCTTCTATCTCGGTTCTAGTGAATGGTTCTCCTACTGAAGAGTTCCCTATTGCTAAAGGTTTGAGGCAAGGTTGCAGCCTTTCTCCTCTTTTGTTTAACATGGTTGGGGAATTACTACATTTGATGCTGTCGAAAGCAGTGGACTTGGGTCTTTTTCAGGGGTTTTCTTTTGGAAACAGTCAAAACTCTTTTACTTTGTCTCACCTACAGTTTGCATATGATTTAATTATTTTTTGTTGAGATTCAATTACTCAGATAAAGAATGTTAGAAGAGTTTTGAGGATTTTCGATTTATTGACGGGGCTCCAACTGAAT